AAATGTTTTCAAGTGCTTTCGCACGTAGCTCGCCCAGTGGAGTTGCCTCAAAAATTTGACGACATGTTGCCCAAGGAAAAGAGAAATCGAGAATGCAAAGAAAATGAACAAGGAGAAAAAAAAAGAAAGAAAGGGAAGGAAAGAAAAAGGAAAGAAAAGGCGGTGCAGGGGAAAGTGGGATGTTGGTGTAGACAGACGGAAAAAAAAAACGCACGGGACTTTCTGGATAGGCAATGACCTTAAAAATTCACAGAATAAGTGCTTTTGGAAGCGGGGAAAGATGAAAGGAAGCAGTGGTTCGAAGGTTCTAAAAAATAAACTTTTTGTAGTGATATATAGACACATGCATATCTATAATTAAAATTTTTACAAAATTATAAAGTAATAGCATGATATGTAGACTAGGAGTGATTCTATGTAATACCAGTTATGTCTATTTGAAGGTTCAACGTATCTTATGTCTGTCATTACTGCCACAATTATGCTATGGCTTTTAGTGATTCCAAATTTCCACGTGCTACATTGATTCCTAAAGGGGGCAGAGAGTTAAATTTGTGTATCAAATATGATTCCACGTATTTTCTCTCCCGTGGTGACCAGAAATTTGTTTGTAGAATGTAAAGCTTGGCTTAGTCAAAATTGTGGTCCTGTTGATTGAAGTGACCGGCTACTGTTTTTGGTAAATTGTGCTTTGCGTCTGCACTGTGGCCGTTCAGTCTTACATGAATTGGCTGCCCAGTTTTGCCTATATATTGTTTCCTACAGGTGGCACACTGAAGACAGTATATTAGGTTGTTTGAATTGCAAGTGAAGCTCAATGTAACCTTGTGAATGTAATCAGATGTGCTTTTTAAAAACGCTGGTAAAAGGCTGTATATGTTTGCAGGTGGAGCATCTGGATGGGCCACAGGGGCCAGAGGTCCTAGTCTTTGCTTTGAGTTTTGCCTGAACAAATATGCCTTTAAAGTTAGCGTTGCATCTTTAGACGACCTTAGGCGGTTCGGGAAAGATTTTCTTAAGGTTATGGTTGGTTGTTAGAATTGAATAGTATGTTGTGAGAATGTTTTTATGTTCGGAAGTGCATTAAAGAACTTGGTAGTGAAAAGTGGTGTTATTGTTGTTGTGATTTTGGGGCGTTGTTTGAGTGCCTCATTGCGGTCCAGTTCCAGTTCATCCGTAAAGGCTTTGTCAAGGGATGTGTTAGGATAGTTTCTGTCTGATAGTGTTCCTTTTAGGTCAGTATGTCTGTTTACGTAATCCTAGTTTTTTATGCATATGCTGCGTAGCCTTGTTTTTCGACTGTTAAAAATGCCCTCTTTGCAATGTCTCGGGTGGTAGCTTGTATAATCTAGGTATTGTCATTTTTCAAATGGCTTCTTATACACAGTTGTATTTAATACGCCATTTTCAAGATATACGGTGACGTCTAGAGAGTTGATGTGCTGAGCCGAGGTGTTGGAGGCGAGCTTTATTATCTTATGAAATGGGTTTAGGAGCGAAGTGAATTTAGCTAGATTGTCTCTCCCATATCCCCATATTGTAGATATGTCATCTATGTACTGAAGATATGCGTGAGGTTTCTTCTCACGAGACAGGAATTCGGTTTCCAGAATTCCCATGAATATATTTGCATAGGTCAGGGCAAATGGGATACCCAAGCTTGTTCCCTGTATTTGAAGGGAAGTTTTCCTCAAATTTGAAGTAGTTATGTGACAGTACTAGTTCCAGTAGTGTTAAATATACTCCAGTACAATGTTGTACGCTTTGTCGGGATGAGGTTAGCTAACCTGAAGAAGCCCTCATGGATAGGAATATTCGTATATAAAGCGGTAACATCTAATGTGATGAGAATGACATCTTAGGGTAGAGTACCATGTTATTAATTTCCTCTATTATTATGAGTACGTGGGGTGTATCTTGTACAAATGACGGTAATGAGTTTAGAATGACACCTAGAAAGTGGTTTAGGAATATGGAGAGGTTCTTGGTTGGGGTGGTGTTGGATACTATTGGGCACCCTGGAATATTGGCACTATATAATTCTGTAGATGATTTTTGTGAATTTTGGGAAGGAGGTAAAACCACCCTGCTGCTTTGCTGTTTCGTTGCAAAAATTCAAACTCCGATGGAGTTACCTACTTATCCGCTAAAAGGGATCTAAGCCGGCTGGTAATTGTGAGTGTGTATTGTTCTGTTGAATCATTGTCTAATTTACAGTAGAGTTCAGGGTTGTCCAGTTGTCTGTAAGCTTCGTACTTGTACTTTTATATAGGCCAGATGACTATGCTTCCTTCCTTATCAGCCTCCTTAATTATAATGTTTCTAAAACCTTCTAAAACTACTTTTACTGCGCATTGTCGAAGTCATAGCCAATCCAGAAAGTTCTCTGTGGCTTTTTTCCAGTCTGCCTATACCAACGTCCTACTTTCCCCTGTGCCGCCTTTTCTTTTTTTCGTTTTCTTTTTTTTATCCTTGTTCATTTTCTTTGCATTCTCGATTTTTCTTTTCCTTAGCCAACATGCCGTCAAATTCTTGGGGCAACTCCACTGGGCGAGCTACGTGCGAAAGCACTTGGAAAACTTTTTTTTTTTTTTTGCCAATGATCTTTTTCATTAGACACATTCTCTTCAGACCCCACCGGTATGTCGACATTTTGACATTTGAAAAGTACGCCGCCTGCTTCTACCCTTGTCGTAACTGCTTCCTTGTTGTCCTTCCCATTCATAGGTGTTCTGGAATAGGCGTACGGCGCTATCGTCGGCAACCTTCTACAGTGGCTAGACGTGGCGCCCATCTGCTGGTTTTGAAGTATTTCATGCTCTTTCCTTCATTGGTGTCTGCAGCGGCCACCGCATTGTAGAACGCCGCTCCTACTTTGCATTCCACCCTCTTTTTTTTTTACTTTTTTTTATTTGCTTCTCCTTCCTCCAACCTCATAGAAGAGAACACTTTGTAACATTGCAACCTAGCTTGCCATAAATCGAAGGCTGCACTCTTCTGCTTTATAATTTTTTTTTCAGACGGCGATTACCAACAGGGAAACACGCCACCACCAGGAGATGACATCACTACTAACCCCCTTAAAACTAACACGCCAAGGATGACAAGGTGCCTTTGACAAAGACAGTTCTTCCTATCGATACGTCGGCCAGCCTGTCTGAGGCACTTCCACTGTTCGCCGTGATTACCTCATTAAGCAAATAATAATGAAGTCTACATTAGCATGTGCCAAGCCGGCTGAATCCTTTAACCGTCTCTGCGAATTCAAATGTGGCTCTGCCAAGCTGGCGACCTCGAAATCTGGGATATTCGTAAAACCGAGGAGTAGAGGTAGCAAAAAAAAAAAAAGAGAGAGAGAAAAAAAAACTGACACACAATATGACATTTGCTGCTCCAAATGAATGCCATTCCTTTTTTAGACGTCAGCGATTATATTAGTACTCAATTACACGGCACATACACGCATGAGTAATTGAACAATATCTGCTGTGTCCCCTGACTAGCGCTGACAGCCCGTTCCAAATCATATAGACTTTTCTGCAAGGCACTGGTGTACTGTGGCAGAGGTAGCTTACACACCATCCTGCGCAGGTTAGAACAATGACAAGCGACAAGCAATTTTCGAGATGCTACCCCCCAACCCTGCCCCACTTTTTTTTTCTTTCTTGGTGGGACACAACTCGGTTTGCTTGCAAGGTGCGTTCGACGAGATCAAAGTAACAACGGCACGCGACCGTTTACCTGGCGCTGCGCCGGATATCCATCACCACGACGCATTTTCAAGCCAGAAAATTGTGTTATGTGCTGCTGCTGCTATGGCAACCAACGTGGTGGTGGTTTGCAACGATGATGTTTTCGCACATCGACCTCGTTCGCACACAGAAAACGCAACATACATTCCTAACATGCCATAACCACATTGCCTACTAGAAAATTCATATTTTCCGCGAAGCATTGGTGGCTATGGCAAGATATTTTCTTTTTTTTTTTTCTTTCATGAAGTTCCATCGTCCCACCGATAGGTATCCGCTGTGATCAGCAGACCAATGGGCGAGCAGCATTGTTACCTCATTATATACTTTATCTGGTCAATTGCATCAGTGTCCTCATATAACGAGTATATAATCACCGTGGTTCGAGGTTACGGTCTGCACACTTGGTTTGATTTCTCACTGAAATTAACGCACCTGAGATAATTTTGAGGCTGGTCGAGTATTTTGGCACAGCATAGTGCCATTTCAACAAATTTCATGGTTTCGGCGCAGCTCGGCACACTAGAGAATTGTATCGAATCGGCACAATTGGCACAGCTGTTGCACCCCTGCGGACAGATGTCGGCATAAGGGGCTCAGGAAGTGGTTGTCAACTTCGGAGGTCCAAAGTGAGGATGCCTGGACTTGCCACAGCCTTGCATAGCAGTTCGTGGGGGAACAACAGCTCTTCCGCTTCGAGCAAAAACAAATGTGCCTCACAACAGTCATTGGAGTGTGTCATGAATGAGGCCATGGATGAGTTGGCTTTAATCAAGCAGGCTGAAGATGACGAATAAGACCGGGGCATCGGCAATGAAGACGAGCAGCTCGTTCAGTGACGTCTTCCAGGACAACTTCGATGACGGTACCACTTTGTCGTAGTTCTAGAAGTGGCATCGAAACAGTAAGAATGTTCTACTATTGCGGGACCGCATGAGAGTAGCGACCAAGAAGCGTTCTTGGCTATAGACAGGTTAAGGCTAAGGATCAAGCTTGACTTGGATCGAAGTTAGTTCCAGTTTCAATGCATAGACTGTTATTGTGTGTGTTCATGTTTCGCGGTTTATGGTTTGTTCAGATTTTTCCCATTTTGCGTAATATTGGAATGGGTTTGCCCTGTTACCGCTGGCTCGAGTTTCTCTCAATCCAACCCTTCCGCAGTAAATCAAGTGCTCCCGTGGTAAATCATGACAGCAACTTCCTGCACATAATCATACCATAAAACTTTCAAAAATAGGCATGGCCTACCTCACAGTACTTCTGTATATTGCTTTCAAGGATTTCTGTCTCTTCTTTGGAGAACATGCCTTGTTTCCAGGAGTGGCCTGAAAGTAGTATAGATTGAATCATGACAATTCTATTGCTGGAAAGCTAAAGGACTTTAACCTTTGATATGCAGATTATTCTTAATCGCTTTTGTAGTAAACCAGTTCTGGTTGACATCAGTCACAGACGTTGTCGTGGTGGGCTGGGACAAATCCTGTAAAAAAAAAATCAAGTTTTGCCTCCATATTACCAAATGCATCTTGGCATCAGGAAGGATGCCCACAGACAAATCACAAGGCCAATGTGGAGTAATGTAAAATAGTTATGCAAACATATGGCCAAAACAGCATTACTTGCAATATACAACTGCTTGTCCCAGTAAATTCTATTAACTCAGTTTCATGACTAGCAAGTAAAGAATACTATAGACTCAGAACAGCAACAAGCCCTAACTATCACTCTCCCAAGTTAGAGACAAAATTGACATTTAAACTCACATACATAATACAGAATCAGTAAATTTATCACTGAGGCACAAAGTCTATCATTTAGGGGAGATGTGGGTCGAAAAACGCAAGTTTTCTAAAAAATTGACGATTTATTGTTTTCACAAGTTTTGTTAAGATCAGTAAGTCTACTGTTCTGAGAAGAAATCTATGTCGAGACTCAACTGGAAATGCTTTAAAATTGCGTCTGAAGAGCACAAAGTGGCTGTTAAAAGGCCGAAAGTGTGGTCTTCAAGCACCTTGCCGCTGATAATGCGCCTCCGCTCACTATTGTCGATCGCATGGGGAAAAGAGCCGAGCCTCACTCTTCAAATAACGATGGGTTTCGTGCTTCATCAGTGCCAGAAATAATAATGCTTTTGCTGTGTTCTACAGGCGCCGCACCTGGCTTTTAAAACCCATTGTATGGATCGGTGACTGCCATTGGCCGCTGCGTGCCTGTGTGCGCTGTGAAGCTTATTTGCAAGGTTCATGTTTTGTCAAGCAGAGCAGCTGAACAACGCTTTTCTCGTAAGTTTATCAACATTATGGATGAAAAAAGCCCTAGCTCGTGCAATAGCTAGGCTGTCAATGTGAAAGCTGTATAGGCAGAGCACTCTGGAGACATGGGCTATGAGGAGCTGGTCCAATTAGCGGCAATTCTCAGCTTGCAAAAGCCAACGCATCATAAGTCATTCACAGCCATTAGCCGGAAAGTCCCGTGATACGGCAATGAATGCCATCTGCGTCAATCTTACAAGGTCGAGGGAGCTCACAGTGAGGGAAGTTAGCAGGGACGACATTGCCATTATGTACGACGCTACGTGGCACAAACACAACCACAAGAGCCACAATGGCGTCGGCATTGTTGTGTCTCTAGACACCCTACTTTAATTAGATTTCAAAGTCCGTTCAAACTTCTGCTAGCTAGCAGTCAGCACAAGGCTCCAATGTGCCCCAATGGAGTGGAAGAAGCTTGGAAAGCGTTTCATGGCCCTGTCCGTGAGCGAAATGTCTGTGAGAAGTAAGCTCGAAAGGGCCATAAGGACAAACTTATGGTGCTGGCGCATTTTAGTGACAGTGGCCAATTCAAGAAGGATTGTTCTTTCCTGCGCACAAATTTCATCCCATTTAATGACATCTTTCATAAACAAATATTCATTTTTAACTTTAAAACTTTTTCTCAAAACACAAATTTTGCTAATTTTTTCAATGTGCCCCTAATTTTGTCAATTTTTTCCAAGGTAGGAAAATGCAAATAGCTTGTTTAAATTTCAATATCTTTATTATATAATAAAAAAATCTATGGAAACGTTTCCTAACCCAGGAGAAATATGAACTTCCCACCTTAACACTTTCGTTACTACGCCTACTCAAACTGATCACCAGTGATCGACACTTTGGCTTGTTGATTTTGGCATGGTAGATTTGTTCCACGTGGACCCAGCACTTTCAAGTAGTTACTCCAGTGACTAAACTTTTAGAATCAATTTGAATTTGCCCATTTTGGCAACATGGTGATTTTTGAAAGATGTTTGCACAAACCAATGTGCGTGTGTTGTTGGGAAAATGTACTAGACAGGCGAAGTTGACAAAAGTGCGTGCCCCTCGTGATTATGCTGCAGTAGCATCGAAGGTTTGTAATCAAATAAAACTTTCTAAGCCAAATATCAAATTAAAGTGTCAGCTTTGAAATTTGACAGTGTTGAGAAGTAATAATAGCCAGAAATTTATGCCAGCTATTCCATAAAAAGCTGTAGCTGAAAGTCAGGCAATATTTATTTTACAAAAATATTTCCGAAGGTCTGCCGCATGCATAAAAAATGTGCAGGTGGCTCACACAGCCAGTTTCCAGCCACTTTGGTTTTGCGTGTATCGTTATATGCGACATAGGGTTGCATCTAATGTCACTAGTCGCTCCTATGACGTCATCGTCACGCGCGTATGGTTGAGCACCAGCACTGCAACACACACGCATCGCTCTAAACTGTCTTGCAACCCCACCTTAACTGAGCGAGGACAAATTTAGAGTCAGTGATGACAGAACCCCAGCTACAAGTTTTTTGGCGACGATGTTTTGCGTCAGCCTGGGACATTCAGAGCCATTCATCGGTTTGTTTTGTTTACGGCCTCGACTTGTCTTTTCCACCACATGTAGCTAGTTACCTTTGTGCCCAAGCTTATAGCTACTCTGGTTACATGCGAGGTCCCCACTTTGCTGGGGTGCGGCGTGCTGGCACCAGATGCAGAACTTCTCCCAAGAACAAGGAGGCTACAGGAGCACATCTTGGCCCCGACTACGAAGTAGCACGAAACGTTTTAGAACTTCACGCTATATCGTTTTTCTTGGCAAAGCAGAGTTAGTGCCTTGAAGATGACAAGATCACATGGTTGAAACATTGTCTCCAGTGACACTCCCTGCTCAAGTGTATGCATGCCTGCATCTTCACTTGAACTTGTGCTTTACTTTACTAAATTGTATGCTCAAGTTACAGAAATATGAACCTAGTATGCTTTATATGTTAAACAAATGATGGCCTAAATAAAACATTTGTTATCGATGACCAGTTTATCTACATGAGCACCTCTGCCAGAGGTCATACTAATTGTAGCAGCCTGTAATGGTACACATATCTGCAAGAATTTCATGACATGCTCTTTTCAGGCAGCCAAGATCATCAACAAGATAGATTAAGTGGATGCGAAACCAAACAGCTTTTGCATTGCAATGTATACAGGCGTGGGCATTGTCAACAGACAGGGAGGAAGGCGTGCCGAATGGGCTGCCGTGAATGCGTGCCCAAAGGATGAACAGGCTGCATGATGCACAAACGTAGAGTTCTAGCAAAGGCCCTCCTCATCCCCCTCTTGTTGTCCCCATTCACCTTTTCCATTTTTCTGTGCTGCCCTATGGTGTGTTGTTGGTAGGGGCTGGGAGAACTGGTATAGCAAAAACAAAAGCCTCCAGCTAGGGTAAGACTGTATACCCCGTGGCGTCGTGGAAAAGGCAGATTGGATGAAACATAAGAGGAGGACGTAGCAGCTCACAAATGTATTCATTCTGTTAGCGTCGCAACAGCTAATAAGCAAAAATGAATATCTTGACAGCCTCAACAATGTTTGAGGCCGAGTCAACTTAGGCGTTGAAAAGATGGCGCATTTATTTATGCAGTCTGCTTCTCGGACTGAATATAAGCAAGAACTTTAAACTTTAGCACAACCACACCTCACGCTGCTATGACTGGCAGGTAGCAAGGCAAAGAACCGTACCTCACGCTTACCTCATTAAGGTTGACGAGAGGAATACCTGGATCCAGTGACCGGTTGCTGCTTTCACCTGAAAGCAAGAGACCAGCAATGAAATGCAAGACGGCACTTGAAACAGACTGGATGCACACAACACAGCTAGATCAATGCAAAATAATTACAATGGAATCATCAATGAAGCACTCCTTTGGGCTTGCTGGTATTGCACTGCATGGTGGGTGTGGTCAGTCAACATCTTTGAACAATGCCGTTGCAAGACGAGTTCAGTGGAATCCTGCCGGCTAGTAGAAGGGTTATGAAAGAGATAATCGACCACCACCTATTGGTAGCATCGAACCACATGAAAATTCATACAAATTTTTTCTGAGATGAAAGCTTGTTAGCTAAAGAAAAAGCCATCCTGATCCAGGGATCGAACCCAAAACCAATGCCTTTCCAGGGCAGCCACTCTACCAATTGAGCTATCCAGGATGCTAGAGGACGAATTAGTAAAAAAGCTCGAAGTTCATGGACACAGACTACTGCAAAACGAGTTCTAAGAGGATTTCCGCATATTTCTATATGGAATCCGAATCAGTAAAAAAGCTCGAAGTTCATGGACACAGACTACTGCAAAACGAGTTCTAAGAGGATTTCCGCATATTTCTATATGGAATCCATATGAATTTCTGGAGCTGCATGGCTTCATGTTACAAACGAGTGGTTGTCAACAATCTTTTCTATAACCCATAGAGTTCAGTGTTAGTGCAGTCGTAGAGCACCAACCAGCAATGTGTGAGGCAATGGGTTCAATGCCTAGTAGCACAGGCCATCCAAAACCTTTTCTTTTTGCAAAAAGAAGAGAGGTACCATAACTTGGCACTTGGAAGTGCACATACTTCCAGAGAAGGTGGTTTTCTTTTTCCACTATCTGCATTTGCTTCCCTTCTCCTCCCACGATGACACTGCACGGTGTTCCCTCACGGGTTGCGTGCGTTTCTTAGCGTTCAATCACCATCATACAACCGGCTCACTTCTGTATTCTGCACTACATGTGCCTTGCATCAGTGCCTAATAAGGTACTTTTCATTTCAGCTATGCCACAAGTGACAAGCATAAGCAGCTATGGAAGCAGTAATACTAAATGAAATGACCTCCTACTTATTCTATGTGCTCACAGTTATTAAGGAAATGGATTTCATTAGCCAAGACTGATCGCAATCAACACACGCAAAAAAATCATTTCAGGACTCGTCAACATTACTCTCAGTGGATACGGGGTACTCACCCTGAGCTGCCAGAAAGAGTGTTGGCTGCTGAGAAAAGGTGAGCCGCTTCTCTTCGGGGCCGCACGAAGCCAAGAAGTAGGAAGGAGCCATCTCCTGACTGCTGCTGCTGCCTGGTGAATCGAGACTGTCCATGGCTGACAGTGAGTCGCCTGTCAACAGATGGATGCAGCGTGAAAATATGCAAGGCAAGGCTAGAACTCCTTTTAAAACTGGCCATTCCTATCAAACCACTTCATTAAACCATTAATTTGCATTGTCAGCTCACTCGACATAGGGTGCTCATAGTGAAATGAGACAATGTAGGGCACATACTTTCATACCCACTGCCTTTAGTTTGTGTCATGCCAGCATAATATCAAGTGGAACACTAACATTAAAGCCAACACTACTTTTAGCAGCCAGACTCATAGCAACATGACGTGGTCATCTCAAGCATACAAACTGCAGCCCCGAAAAGTTTGATGTTTTCAATCCACAAGTGCTGTAATTTGTTGTAAAGCCTGAAAATCAGGATAATAAGCTTGCCTTGATAGCATGCACGGCGTGTGTAGGTTAACGAATACCACTGCAAGGTTAATGACTACAGAACAAGTAAAACCACCACTCATGTAATGCTTTCTGTCTTAAATCTGTATGCTCAACAAGATACAAATGCTATAAGTAAAACTAAAATGGCACTGTAAGACAGAATCCACCTTTCCCATGCATGCTGCCTAGCCCCACTGTGTGAATGTCTGATGCTCATGATACTGGTAGACTCTGTGATCAAAACATAGCTTTATGTATCATTATGGCACATCAGTTCTAAAAAAGTTTTCAGGATAAAGGACAGTTCATTAAAGGAAAAAACTCATTCGCACAAAAGTCCGGTAGATGGCATCGTCGAACACACCATTATGGGCAGACTCGATACAAGTGGAGCAGCAAGGGAAGAACAGCACTATCTTGCTACATTAGCATACAGTTCATAATCATAGCATTACTGCTCAACTTGAATGGAACTACTGCATACACTCAACTATGGGCTGCACCAGTGCAAAGCCCCCAACATGGCAATCCACATTTTGAAATAAAAAAAAAAAAATCTCGCTTGTGAATGGCAGCTTCGTCGTGTCTCGCATACGGTGCATGTCGCAGGAGCAACCAGTTGACAATAGCTCTCCTGCAGTTTCGTCATGCGGCGCTATCTGTGAGCTTCGAGCACGTGACACTATTTGGGAGGTCTTGTCGTTTTTCTCGCCAGTTCCATCTACCATTTGTGCTGCCATTCATTTTGACGAGTCTGGCAAGGATGCCTGCAGCTAGGTGTTATATATCACATCATTAGGTATATATGGCACGAATAAACAAATTTTTCCATACATGGATCGAAAGTTGAACGAAAATTTCGTACTTTCGCGGAAGAGCTGCACCCCATCAAAATTACGGGAAAAAAAAAAAGAGTGGCTTTTACGCAAGTGTATATGGTATATTGTGAGTGTTTTTAACACCAGAGTCAAGCCAAAAGATACCATACTGATGCATAAGCCTAACTTCAGCGGTACAAGTATAAATTTTTTAAATGCTGAACTACAAGGAAAAAAATACAATCACTAAGCCACCTGGCTGCACAGAGTGAATATAAGGATGCTCTAGCGATGCTTCTAAGGAAATGTTCATAACGTTTACCAAATATTTTATTTTCTGTGTTTTTGCTCAGGCAGTCAGGACCCCCTCTTTTTTTTTTTTTTTTTTACTTATGTACGTAAGAAGACAGATCTCTGGACCAGCAGAATTAAAAATTGACCAGTTTAAGGGCTCTATGATGCGTATATAAACTTGGAATGACAAGTAGCCTGACGAGTAAAAATGTGTAACTACACTGTACCCTTTTTTTCTTTTTTTTTTTCAATTAATTGCTGTTTTTTTGCCATGTGTAAAAATGTGTAACTACACTGTACCCTTTTTTTCTTTTTTTTCAATTTTGTTTCCCTGTATTTAATAATGCATTTATCACTGATATTTTTTGTTTCGTACTTGCTCCCCTTACTCAATGCCCTATCGGGCCCTGTAAGGTATCATGAATAAATAAATAAATAAATAGAGTGACACCTGTTTCGTATTCGCCTATAAAGTGGACGGAGGGTTAGCCACTCTGGTAGCTCAGTTGGTAGAGCATCGGATTCATTATTCGAAGGTCGCAGGTTCGGTCTCTTCGCACGGCAAGTTGTCTTTTCGTCCACTTTTGTTTCTCACATTTAAATAACAATTGCTTCTAAAACATCTTTTATACTTTCCTTGGCATGATTGTTTATTAGAGCTCATTATTACTAGTTTTGGAATAGGATATGTAAAGCTTTGCACTAGAGTTTCTAGCCACTGCACATGCGTCATACACTAACCTTTTGGTATGTGCGCTACATTTAATAGCATGCATACCCCAACAACACAAATGCTACAAAACCAGTTTTCAATTCTCTAATGTTAATTTATTAATCAGCATCTTGACTACACCCACTGCCAGGCAAAGGCCCCTCCGAGGTTCTGCGAATATACCCGGTTCTGTGCTTGCTGCTGCCACGTATAGCCGCCAACTTCTTAATCTCATTGGCCAACCCAACTTTGTCTCCCTCTCCCGCATTTACCTTCTCCTGGAATCCAGTCAGTTTACCCTTGATGAGCAGTAATTATCCTGCCTACGTGCCCAGCCCATGTCCACTTCTTCTTGATTTCAGCTACGATATCCTTGACCCCCGTTTGTTCCCTGACCCATTCAGCTCTCTTCCTGTCTCTTAAGGTTACACCTGTTATGCTATTACGTCAACACAAATGTTCAGTAACACCATGCTACCATTAAAGGGTGTTTGCATGTGTGAAACGAATGTTGCAGCTATGACTATGATGTGCAGTGCAAAGAAGAGGACGATGATGTGTTGGTGCTCGGAAAAAACAACAGCCGCCATCTTCACTGCTGGTCTATTTCCCACTGCAAACAAGTTGTAAATATCGTTGCAACATTTCAGTGAACAACGAGTATGGTAATTATTGTCTCTGATAGGACAGCAGACATTGCACATCAATTAGCATTTGTTTTGTAATAGCAGCTAATAAAAGTTTCATATAAGGAAGGATTGTACATATACACCAATAACATAAGATGATCATGGGGCATACCCTGCTTGAGCTTAAACAAGATCCAATACCCCCCCCCCCCCCCCCTGTCATGCCCATATTAGAAAATATACTCACAAACAGCAAAAATTTACTGGTGTAACATCGATTACTAGAGACTTCACTTCAAGTACAGCTTAAACTCGTAGCATTGCACTTAGCTGAGCTGCTTGGTAATAACAAATCATAAAAGAACACAAATGACAAGACAACACATACGTAAATTCTGTCTGTGTTGTCTGTTCTCTTGTGACTGAGTACACATGCCTTACGTACTTTAATGATAAAACTCGTATCTAGCATCTTTGCACCACAAATAAATGGTGGGAAACAAGCGCACAGTGGCTCGTTGCCTAGATCATTCAGCAGTGTGATGAAATAAATGTTACAGTATCTCTAGAATGTTTCTATTAGCAATCCCACTATAACGAGAAATAGAATTAAAGACAATGTATATGTTTTAAAAAAGATGGCGTGCAAACATGGACACAGGAAAGAAGTCGCAACACCACAAGGCTCCAATGTGGCTTTTTTTTTCTGGTGTCCGTGTTTGCATGCCCTGTCCTTGAGAATGAATACTTGATAACTCAGCCACGTATTATTCTAAACATATATGCACCATTACTGAATTACTCGAAGTTACTTTACAGTTGTTGGCTGCTCCAAGCATTTCCTGAAGTAGTGCTGCCTCTTTGCAGCGTCCACAAAATGCCCTGCTGCAAAATCACTGGCAATGGTCAGCTATTTGTGTATTTTAGTTTTTAATCTACCAAGGCATATGAGCACTTTTTCCAATATGAACAACTCTGGACAGTGATTACATGAAGTGACTAAACTGAAGACAATTGAAAGTTTTAATTGTATTCACAGCATACAAGGAACATACCCTCACCACCTCTCCCTGGCTCAGATGAATACAAGACACTTTTGAAGCCTAGGCAAAGGCACAGCGCGTCTGAGCAACTCGGAGTGAGCGACACGCCAACCAGAAAAAGAGAAAGTGGTTGCTTAAAAACAAGTGTTGCTTACTGGTATTGTCAGCCACCACGACCACCTCCTCTTCGATGCTATTATCGCTAAGGTACGCTGTTTCGCAGCCATCCATCACAAGTGAACCGTGACACGGCGATCCAATAGGTCCAACAGAGATTTCCTCATCTGAAACGTCGTCGGGGCTATCAAGCATGTCGGCTTGAACGCCCACCGTCGCCACACGGATCGGGTCCATCACCTACGGTGGAACAAAACATGCGAGTGAATTTCACTAATCATAGCAGGGAATGACAGAAAAATGTGTTATTACATCAAATCTTTACACGGCCCGATACATGCCTGGCATCGCTTTGCCATGCGTGTATGCGAATACAGAGCACAAGCAACTGAACGCGGTAATTTAGCAACGCAGACATACTGCACCACTCAATTCGCCTTGTAGGAGACTTTTATGAAGTGTTTTGTGGCATGGCGATACGTAACCTTGATAAAAAAGAGCGAGCAGCAAATGATTGTTCAGAGTGTCAACAGACGTGGAAACCTCGCTTAGCTTTCTCTCACGCACACTCACTGCCCAGTCTAGTTCGCCTTGGTATGGGCATCCCGAAATAAGAGATTGCCACGGTTTCTGTTGACAACAGACCTCACGTGGAGGCATAGGAATTTTTTTTTTTTCCTTGCGAGCGCGGGAGCTTCTTACTCCGTTTATGGAGGACCGCTTGAGTGACGGGCGCTCCAGTGCTCACAAGCACTGGAGCTTTGTGGTAGAATTTAGGCATCTTTCGACAGCGTTTTGGCTATGTTTACGTAGCGCACATCATGTCAACGTTTATCGCTGATGCAGTTGCCTAGCAACGTGGGGACTGGTGAACCCGCGGATTATCCGGGAATCTGAGAAAATGCCAGGATGATGGAAAATGGCGGCTGCCACAGCCCGGAGCGCTTATTTTAAAACAGCGTTTGCGAACCTTGGTAGAAGCGACCTCAGTGAAGTCGGCGAGGTGGCAAATGCGAAAAGACGAGCGGTGCTTACCGCCGTAAAGAAGAAGCTGCTGCGAGTTCACACATGCAGCCGATAAGCCGAAACAGCCGACAGCTAGCGCGACTACTAAACCACAGATAAGTCCGATAACTCTCGCTACCAGACTGCCCTTCGATTTTTTCTCTCCGTCGTCTCAAGGAAACATGGAGGTTGTACGATTGTCACGTGCGTTGCGCATAGGTCGACTTTGGACGAAACAGGTGAGAATAACTGCCTGTCAATTCTGTCAACGAATGCTGGTTAATTCATATACTTAGAAATTCAGTTACATGTGTGTGAGCGCCGTGGGTCTTTCGGCACTTTTTTTCCGAGCGGTGGTCCTTACAATTCCGTTCAGCTGCTTAGGTCAAATACATCGCCCTAGTTCGCTGATGTAAAGACGAAAACGGAGAGTATTGATGCATAAGCATAGTCTTGTTGTCAACAGTAAGGTGCACTCAAATCTAACTACGAGTGTCCTTGAATTTTACTTCACCAAAATGTGACCGCACATTTCTATGAAGGCAAAGTGCTAGATTCCTGCGTGCTGCCTCATTAAACTATCCTAAATGGTCGAAATTGTACGAGCATCTTTAATGCGGCATCTCACGTAGTTTGAGTAGTTTTGGGGAGTCAAAATCTTTCTAATGATCCTCCGGTTTTCAGTGCTTTCAGTTTACACGACGCTAAGCAAGCTTATGTTCGGCATACACCTGTTTATCTTTAATTTTCGCATAATGGCTAATGGGTGGTGTTATCGGCTTGCGCTGCAACCCGTACAGTGTTCTGCGTGGCCAAAATCCGCGCTTACTTGCTTGCGGCATGTCAAGCGCTCTGTTTCAGCAATGTTGTTCGACAATTCCGTTTCAGGCATGCTTAGCACCTCCGTCGTCAAGATGTTTAAACCTGCACGAATACCAAAGCAAACAGCTAATGGCTGACAATGGTATTAATGTCCAGAGGTTTAAAGTCGCCGACAAAGTGTCTGAAGCACAAGAGATTGCTCGAACACTTGGTAAGTTGACCTTCGTAACAGTTCGCAGGTCCACAGCTCGTTATTTAAACGGTCTGGTAATTTAAAAAAAAAGGATATGGTACCTACAATGAACACAATATGAGGGCAAAGGAAGTCAGATTAAACGACCATTGGGGCAGCACACATATTGCTGCAAGCTTGAAGAAGCGCCTTCAGATTTCATCAGTCTGTCCCAAGTTAGCCTTGCAACAGGCAGGGATTTGTGCATCGTTCACTGCGAAATGTGCTACAGACTGACTGGGGCACTGTTGTAATGTGTGACATATAAAGTGTTGCCTTTTTCGTACTGTCACATTGCTGGGGGGGAAAAAAAGTGGGCCTCCAGAATAACCATATTCAAGCAATAATTATTGAGAATAATGTAACAAGAGCATATGCTTCAGACATATTTGTTCTTAATCACGTCTTTAGGTTATTTGATCGATTTCTGCTTGCAGATGTTGCAGAATTTGTCATCAAGGCACAAATACTTGCTGGTGGCAGAGGAAAAGGGACGTTCAGCAGCGGCCTTCGGGGTGGAGTGAAGCTTACCAAGGAGTAATGAGGCTTCTTTCGCAGACTTGGAACTTTAGTAGTATTAGTGAATTAAGCTAACTTGTGTATAATATGCACACGGGCACTCAAAGGAACTTCATACTGAAATTTCTTGGCTGGCATTTTGTATTATGTACTCCTTCAGTTAAGAAGTATGTGGGACTGTAATTGTAATTAAACAAAGGTGTTTGCAACAAGCACAGTCACTGATCGTTAGACTGGTTGGTGAATTACTACGCAAAGTGACGATCAAAAGTTAAGAGACCAGGGGAGCGCATGGCGAACAGCATCGCACTGCCTTTTCACAGCTACCAGAGAAGCTCGAATGTGTGTACTGCGCACACGTTTCTTTTTCTATCTACCAGCCTGCGTTATCACTATCTTGAACTGCGCGCACGCCAGAAAATCACAATGTATCACTTTTGCAGCCACCGCAGAAGCTCTAAGTGATGATATTGTGACGGGAAAAAAAAAAACACGCTTGTAGTGACAGGGCTCTGCGCGCCGCTTCTTCAGCTCGGTTCCAGACATTCCACAGCGGCGTAAACATGTATATGGCGTGTTTTGCCAAGAGGCATCAATGCTCAGTAATCTTATCACATGTGTTCACTAAAAAGAAACTTACACAATATGCACGTTCTTGCCACTGCAGAGCATCTGGAACCAAGGCACAGAAGAGGCGTGCTCCAAGCACTGCCACTGCCAATACAAGAAGTTACATATTTTTGTCACGATATCATCGCTGGGTGACTCTGCGGTGACTGCGACAGTGACACCTAGCGATTTTTCTGGTGTTCCAGTGTGCACTCAGTTGAAGGAAGCAAAAGTGCAGGCTGGTATGTTGGAAAAGAATGCACGCTGTTCAGAGAAGCTCTAGTGCTCTAGTGCGTGCTCTCAGGCTTCTCTGGTACCCGTGAGAAGGCGCCGTGCTGCTGTTCGCCACGCGCTCCCGTGGTCTCCCAAATTTTGATTGCCACTGCACAGTGTAGTGCTAGTACGGCATGCATGACAGATGCATGAGACAGAGACAGCACCATAGGTCAGCATAACTAGTGGAGCTCACTCAGACTTGCTTATATATCTTGCGCTTAGGAAGGACTCACTCGGACACAGGCTCACCAAAAGTTTTCTGAGCCAGACTCACTCGGGCTCACGCTAAATTTTTCTTCAACTGGACTTGCTCATCTTTTTCATCATGGTCGAAAAATAATCATCTTGCGACCATGATGTCAATGCTCTGTAACACTAATGTGTCGTGTATTCGGTGGTATTCTTAGCGCTTTTTCATATAGAACCACGAATATGAGTTACACTAGTGCTCATAAAACAATAAGCTCACTTTTTTTTTTAAAGGGATGACAGCAGGAGAAGTAATTAGCAATCTGATCAACAATGAAGCGGTGTGTGAAAGACACTGCTTCAGAATACGTGCGAGTAGACGTAAAAATGAAAAAATAAATATGATGCACACATTTTCTTCGTGTGTAATCATGTACCTCTAGTTCTATTCTATTCATCTATTTAAGCATTAAATTACAGGAACTGCGCATGCCATGTAAAGTAATTTTCACCATGCCACATGCTACTGTTGGCGATGTCACAGCACTACCATCCACGTAGGGCAATACCTCGTCTACGTCATCCCCTCATTCTCTGGGCACGCGCCTGCAAAAGGAAGGGCAACCAGCATTCATTTTGAAAATTTGCCCATTCTCACGTTGCGTAGCTTCGCAAATTTCGGCACACATGATCGTGTACGCCCCATGTATGCGTTGTGCTCGGCTCAAAATTGTGAAACCTGGTGAGGGGCCCTTTAACTTTTTCATTACCACGCCTATTCAAATTGGTCATCAGTAATCGAAGCTTTTGGCTTATCGATTTTGGCATGTTAAATTTGTTTCTCGTGGACCCAGCACTTTTTAGTAGTTAGTCCAGCGACTCAACTTTCGGAATCAATTTGAATTTGCCTGTTATGACGACATAGTGATTTTTGAAAGACTCACGCAGACCAGTGGGCATGTGTTGTTGGGAAAATGCACTAGGCTGGCAAAGTTGACAAAAGTGCGTGCCCCTCCGGATTATGCTACAGTAGCATCGATGGTCTGTAATCAAGTTAACCTTCGCCAGCCAAATATCAAATTAAAGTGTGAGCTTCGCAATTTGACAGTGTTGAGCAGAAATTTATGCGAGATATTCAATAGAAAACTGCTCCAAGGAGTTAGAGAAAATTTGTTCTATAAGAAATATTTACGAAAGTCTGCCACACATTCAAAATGTCCAGGTGGCCTTCTCTGACAGTTTCCAGCAGCTTTTGTTTTGCTTGAATCATTATATGAAATACAGGGTCGCATCTAGTGTCACTAGTTGCTCCTATGGCGTCATCGTCACGCGGGCATGGGGGTGCACCAGCACTGCAAAGCACATGCACCGCTCGAAACTGTCTTGCAACCCCACCTAAACTGAGTGAGGATGAGCTTAAAATCCATGGATGACAGACCCCCAGCTTCAAGTTTTGTGGCGACGATGTTTTGCGTCAGCCTGGGGCATTCGAAGCCATTCATCGGTTTGCTTGTTTACGGCCTCAACTTGTCTTTTCCACCACTAGTACGTAGCTAGTGACCTTTGTGCCCAAGCTTATAGCTACTCTGGTTACATGCGAGGTCCCCACTTCGCTGGGGTACGGTGTGATGGCGCTGGTTGCAGAGCTTCTCCTAATGACAATAAGGCCCCTAAAGCAGATCTTGGCACTGATGATGGAGCAGCACGTAATGTTTTAGAACTGCATACAATATTGTTTTTTTTTTTCAATACGATATGTGCAAAAATTCAAGGAAATATGCTTGGATGCATCTATTGGAGCGGCCACCTATGCAGAGTGAGGTGGCTCAAGGAAAGAGGTGACGCTTGATGAAATAGCGAAGTTTGTTTGACATCTAATTTATAGAAGGATTATTCACACCACAGGTATCTGTCTGTATAGGAACACTTGGAGATTCTTATCGCAATACAACAAATATTTACTCAGTGAAGTGTACGAGTACACTTGTATCTCACGAAAAATTATGCAATGCTTTACCGCGTGACACAAGCAACAAAGCAGCATCTCGGTTCTGATTTTCTTTGTCTATGTGAAAAGAAACATTTTGTAGAACATTTATTATTTTTTATAGTGTTCCTGGGGCATTTAGCTACAAAAAGTATATTCTGAGTTTTTCTTGTTTTGAATATTTTGGCATATATAGTGTTTCTTATGTATCTGTTGACCAACTGGCGACGAAAAATTCCATACTTTTCACATTTTTATTCATTCTAAAATATTTTGTTGCTCCACAACATATCATTTTTGGAAAGAGCATTTCAATGCGCAAAGTTTGGTATGCTGCAGAAGATGCTGGAGTACTTTTAAACAAAACTGGCAAAAACGATCTTCTCGAGACATATGAAAAACAATCATATTTGTGCAGTAACGAGAGAGTTGCTTAGCGCACAACATATACTTGTGGCTAGGCTTGTGTGAATATTCAAAAGATTCAAATATATGAACAAATATCACAGTATTAGAATTTGCTTTGATTCGAACATAAGTTAATGAAAATTTCGAAGTATTCGTTATGAATGAATAGGTGTATATCAGTCCGTCTGTAACTTCCGTAAAGGTGGTTTCACTGCAATAGAAGGGTGCTAAGCGTTAAAACGTTTGTATTTAACTTTTTGAAAAGGAGATTTCACTGCAGTTAAGTGGTGCTAAACTGTGATAACACCTATTTACGAGTCTGCACTACTGTGAAGCCCCACTTCAAGGTTAAATGAACATATCGTCCTAGCTTATATACACATTTTTTGACATTTGAAAGCTTGCTGTATTTGCTTATACGATCTCAGTATAGTAAATATTGAGACGTAACATATTTGACAGGTTATCACTTACATTCTATCAAAAGTGAAATCCTGCTACTTGTTGTGGAGGGCCTCGGAGCTGGCTGTTCGAGTCGGGGCTCAGGGCTTCTTCCTGGGGTCACTGTCCAATTTGTCAGGGTCTTCATCGTCTTCGTCATCGTCGCCTTCGTCGTGCCTCTCAGTAATTTCCATCTTAGCCCTCTTTCGTAACGTTCCATTCACTCGCCTCCTCGTCTCCTATCTTAAACATTTCCCACTTTCTTAGAAGATAAAAGAAAAGCATTTGCACAGGCTTTGTTTCATTATGTATCGTGCAGGTTAGTTTGATTGTGACAAATATGCCCTTTTCCTTTATAACATGTGACGTATACTGTTCGAATTCGATTTGAAAATCACGATTCGCTTCGAATCTAAAATTCACTATTTGCACAAGCCTACTTGTGACAGTACAAGGATGCAGTCCAACGTTATGTGTGGCCCCGCCGCGGTGGTCTAGTGGCTAAGGTACTCGGCTGCTGACTCGCAGGTAGCGGGATCGAATCCCGGCTGCGGCGGCTGCATTTCCGATGGAGGTGGAAATGTTGTAGGCCTATGTACTCAGATTTGGGTGCACGTTGAATAACCCCAGGTGGTCGAAATTTCCGGAGCCCTCCATTACGACGTCTGTCATAATCATATAGTGGTTTTGGGACGTTAAACCCCACATATCAATCAAATCAATCAAGGTTATGTGTGTCGCTACTGTGTAAAGCACCTGGTATAGCATAGTATTTCCTGTTGTCATTCATCCTCTTTCTGTTTTTCAGCCCAGCCCAAGTGCCAGAGCTTGTGGAGAAGATGCTTGGCTATAAGTTGGTCACAAAGCAGACACCAAAAGATGGCGTCCTGGTGAACAAGGTACTTGTTCATCTTTTCAATGGCTATTCACTTGCCAAAACACTGGTCTGAAAGCAGTGGTTGGAAAACAACCTTTTAGAAGTGGCCAGCATCCACTACAACACAAGTTGTTGCCACAACCTGTATAAGGAGGCATTACTACCACATGTCTACACTTTTTCTAGAATAACATGTCTCTGTATACAACACAATTACATTGTGAGCATATTATGAACATGGTTTACTAATGTAGATGAACATAGTTTGCTAATGTAGATTCATTTAATGTATTGCCAGTCAGGACTCAGTAATAGGAATGCTGAACTGAGTAAGCTCTATACCCGCCATGTATTTTAGCCAAGGTTTATGTACCTTTTTCTCCATAACCATAAGAGCTACAGTAAATATTTTACTATCATTGTGATCTTGATTGATTCCTCTTCTTACTAAAGCAGATTTAGCACTGAAAATTATAACACTCGTTTTTTATAAACTTATACTTCAGGTACCTAATTATCACTTGATGATAACTATTAGATATGTTGCAGAAGAGCACTTTTTCACACAATGATAATTATGCTTCTGTACATTCCCCATTACATTATCTAAATACTGGCCAAAAACTGTTGATTTTAGATACTGTAGTTGTTGAGATAAAGGAAAATAAGTACAAAAAAGGCATGCTTTGAGATAATTGCCATTTGAAGTGAAAAATGTGCATTATTTAAAAATTACAATGAGATAACAGTAAATTGACGAACCCCTTTAATAGGCACCAGCCAGATGCTCGTCACCTCTTTTTTTTTTTTTTTTTTTATTGAAATGTTTTACCTGGTGAGCCTCCTTTGTCGCCTACTGTGGAGCCCTGTCAGCAAAGTATACTGTCCACACAGATATAGGGTGCGTAGACCCTGCATTGTGCAGAGCCCTGGCAAAGTTCCAAAATAGTTCAGCACATTCGTATGGGCTATATTGTGATCATTAAAAGTCAGCCAGGCATCAAGAGTGTTTTTCAGTTTTTGGTGTCTGAGGAAAACATTTTTTGAAGCACGCTCTCAAAAGACAATTATATGACTCGTTATGGTTTTGAGTTTTTCCGTGGGGGCATTCAGCAAGTGATTCCGGATAATATAGTTGCAGATAATTTGGCTTAAGAGCCTCAATAACGGATGCTCGAAGTTGTTTTTTTGGTGAACGTATGGTTCATCATTCAATTAAGCTTTGTTGAATTTACACCAAGTTGAAGCCTTGGAGCAAAGGCGGGGGTTGATTGGTATCCTTTGATGCCATGTGAAAATGTGTGAACCGGGCAGCTTTTCGTACCTCTTCCAAGATGGCGCTATATATATTTTTTTTTGATGGCCCAACGATTATAGTTTTGGTGCTTGCCAATGATGACACTACTATGACGTCCCTGACCAGTTATAGATTTCCTGACAGAAAGCTTGATGCCTCTGCTTTCTTTTGTTTTCGCAGTTTTGAGCAAATTCTTTTCTGAATGTGCCAAATGACTCCAGCTTGCAAACTGTAACTTCTACATATGGCTATGATGTTTAACTGCATGGAATCCCTTGCTACGTAAGTATGAGGGCATGGCAGGCCGCCGCACAAATTTCGAAATTGCGATTTCTAGAGAAAAAAATCGTCCTAAGGCAAACAAATGACTGATTATGGTGCAGAAAAGGCTACATAACTCAAATAATGCAGAAAGAAAAACGAGCCAAAAAATGCAAAAAATGAAACACTAGTGGCACTTTTGCCTTGGCAGGTCTTGCACAAACTTAACCTGTTATTACAAATTTTTACAGTATTTTTACTTGAACTTCACTTTTTATCAGCAAAAATTGGCTACTTTGTATCCTAATAATGCTAGACATTAAACTTGGCACATTTGCAGCCCAAATGTCAAAAAACACTTTGAAAATTGCACTGACATTGTGTCTCGGAGGTCAACATGAAATTAGAGCATTTGAAATCTTGATCTTATTTTCTCTTTTAATAATCAACCAGTTTCGCCAAATTACCCATTTACTATCTAGGGGAAATCAGCACTGCAGTGAAGCCACACTCCTGTACTTACACCTGTACCTCAATAAATTATTTTTAAAATTTAAAAGCTTGTTACATGGACTTGTATGCACCAAGTATAGCATATTTTAAAATGTAACATATTTTAAAGCTTCTAACTTATGCCCTATTACTATTCAAATCCTGCCACTATTTGAATTTGCTTTTACTTTGAAACAAAAAGTGACATTTCCATACACTTAGTTCAATTTCTTAATGATATTGTGCAAGGTAGTAGGGTTATGACAAAAATGCTCATTTTTCTTTATAATATACGAGATATGCCAATGAATTTGATATCCAACAAAACCACTATTTGTTTCGAACATCTATTTGCCCATTTCCATCATTTTCCAATTTTCGTTGCCCTTCACCATTGGTCTTTGTGGCAGTACTAATGCAGGGCATAAGACTGATGAGGTGAGCTGTTAAAAAATGTGGCCATCTAAAGTTCAATAACATTTATAAATAATAAATGAACAATTAAGTTGCTTAGGTTGTGGAGTCTTGAAATGAGGCACATTCTCAAAGTGAACAGACACAGCCGACGCGATTAAGACAAACCAAACACTTGCACATTTGCTCATCTACTTTTACAAGCGCCGATATCGTTAGCTAAATTAAATACCTGACTAGTGACACGCTAAAAACATGTACAGTATTCCAAAACTCTCAACATAACAAGCACAAAGTATTGTGAAGGGCGTCATTGGGGATGTTCGACTCACCACAATGGATATCCACAGGACACAACACGCAGTCGCGTACCCCTGCGTACCGCTGCAGGAGACAACCATCATGCTAGCTGCCAAATGCCAAAGAGAGTCTCAAATCTTTTCTGTGCGGCCATCTAGTCTCGCTGCTGGGTAGCACTGCAGGGCTACTGCACTAACGGTAATAATGATGATCATGATCCCATGCGAGCACGTCACCTCTGGCTCAGCGGTATAACCTAAATACAGCCCATCCACATGACACGTATGCGCCACGAGGTGCAAACAACTTTACAGAGGGTGATTGCATCCTCGCAAGGTGCAGGCATCATAAGCTTACTGCTTCAGATTTCTTGTTTGTTGTCTGTAAATTTAGAAGATGTTCTTTGGTTCGTGTTTTTACCAAGGTGATGATTGCTGAGGCTCTGGACATAGCAAGGGAGACTTACCTGGCCATCCTAATGGACCGCTCGTACAACGGTCCTGTAGTGGTGGCCAGTCCAGCTGGTGGCGTGGACATTGAAGATGTTGCCGAGAAGACGCCACACCTGATCTTTAAGGTAAATAGCACAATGTCTAGATGCCTCCCATGTGATTAGTGAGGTGCATGACCAGTGTTTCCCTCTGCATCTTTTTGATCTCACATAGCTTCACCAGACCATTGGCACAATCGCTATTCTCTCATTAGATGGTACTAGTGGCACCGATTAGTTGGAATGTTCATCTTCATTTGCACCCATTCTGTCAACTCTAATGATTAGCATTCTGTAGAAGAAAAATGAAGTTTTCTCATTTCATTCCCTTCCACATACCTTAGGAATCCATGTTTTGTGAGGCATGCGAAATGAAGGTGACTGTGTTATGATCTTTATATTGAGGGGAATGTTATCAAATGATTAACTGATGGAACAGAGTTTTATAAACATGTCTTGAAATACAAATTGCATCATTGCTTCTTTCTGGCATGTGCAAGTTACGAAAGTAATGACAGAGTTTAGGGGACGTGCTGATTGTTCAAGAGATGCCTTGACAAATGGTGTTGTTCGTATGTAACAGGAGCCAGTCAGCATCTTGGAGGGCATCACTAGCACACAAGCACAGAACATTGCCAAAAACCTCAACTTCAAGGGGCCACTATTAGATAAGGTGAGATGTTGTTGTGATATCTTATATGTGTGTTTGTTTTACACCACACATCACATATATTAGTGGCTTACGGCATCGCCTTACGTGCGCCACCGTAAGCCACTAATATATGTGATGATGCCATTGTAATCTTACTGAAAGTACATGGCCTTTTCTTTGCTTGACATTCTTTGGAAAAACACTTCATTTCATTCACATAATCGCACACTACCATCAAATCATTTCCGAACTGTGACGAGAAGTACATGCTGACAGAGCGGCTCAGCTGACGTGTGACTTGTCAGGCTTTCGTCGGTGCGGGTGCCTAAGTTTTTGTGGCGATCTATTAGCGGAAGCCAATGCAGCTATATTTGCTATGCGTTGCCTGCTGCATTTTCTGTCTAAGCATTTCTATCTAGTTGCATGCAGTGCGTCACCTACTAAGCTCATTTCATCAGCGTCGATCACTGTAATGTACGCGTGCGTTCGCCCTTGTCAGTGACGTTTCTTCTTTGTGTTGGATCAGCTCCGGACCATGCAAAGCTGCAATGAGTATTTTGTCGGGCCAATGCAACGGCGGCGAGTTGCCTTGATTTACACGAGTGATGCACACTTCATTGAAGCACCTCCGCGCACAAAGGTGCGGCAGCGAACAGCGCGCAATCGGTACGCTTACAGTACGCATGTGTGAGCGGTAACAGCTCTAAACTGCCGAGCCACACATACGGCTGAGGAGGCACTTTATGATCTGGATTCTTTGAGATGTTCTTGGTAGATTCATCGCAATGATGCGCCAGGGCATTCATCGATACCAGTCACCACGCTCTTATGCATTTTACAGTGAAAGCTGTTATGAAATCACAACTCGAGTCACGCGCAGTTGTCTGCCGCCGCCGCTGGTGTCCGTAACCACATTGAGCGAAATTATTAAACGAAAATCCTAGCACCAAAGACACAGTGGGGCTTGAAACCCAGGTCTGCTGGGTGCCAGCCCAGTATTCTACCACTGATCTACGCCGGTGCTTGTGGCTTGTTGGTGAACTTGCCTTAGGCAGGCTTTATGTTGGGAAAGCAATCGCGTTAATAGGACTTATAAAGCGTTTTAAAACAGCGAAAGAACAATCAGTCATCGCACAATTCGAATAGCATAACGAGTGGGCCGTACAATGCTCCAACCCATTACAAAAGCTTGTTCTTGTTCCCCTATTAACTGTGGCACATAATTACTTCAGCCATTATTCCTCATCGTCGTCAGCCACTGCTTGAACAATTGGCACGAAATTCTTTGCAAGTGTTAAGTAAATACCACGCTTCTCAGAAGAAAGACGAAAAATAGCATAGCAAATGCCGGCCTACGACCCAAAAGTTTATTATTAATGCCCTAGCGGGTATCAAGCAAGTGTGCTTACAGTAGTTAAGCAATGAGGGCTTTGAAAAGGCTCTGAAAGGCCACTCTTCTAGCTTTCGCTGTGACTGTGCTGCCCCTTCTATGCATGCCTGGCGTTTTTTGTGCAGCCATGACAGCGCTTGCGCCGAAGTCGCAGTAATGACTGCATGGGTTACTGTCGATGCACTTATCGTAAAGGTGCAAAATTGAAAGTTTTTTACAGTAACTAGTGTGGTCGAATATTCCAAAACATCGAATATTCGAGTGACTTCAAATATGTGGTTTTCGAACCGAACATGAATATTAGGATTGCAATATTCGTGCACCCCTACCGTATAAACCGGAATATAGGTCGAGATTTTTTCAATAAAATAATAAGCTAAGGTCGCCCCTCGTCTTATATAGCGATGTCTAGCCAAAAGTGCGATGCTGTCTGGCAACATATGGCTTGCATGTGCTTGTGAAGCCAGACGCGGCCATATCCACATCCAAATCCAATCGCAGTCTGTTTTCTTTGTGTTGGTGATTTGCTTCCGATCTATTCCCAGCTTTCGCTCCGCTTGACATTGCGCTGCATTTTTAGTAGCCTTTTTTTTTTTTCGTTCACTGAATATGTCTAGCGGTGCGAGGAGGCAGTACTCAGCTGCGTTTAAACTATATGTTGTTGAGTTCGCAGAAGTGAACGGGAATATAGCTGCTCAGCGCCGCTTTGGTGTATCAGAAAAAAGCGTGCGCTATTGGAGGGCGCAGAAAGGGAAGCTGCAGATGTGCAATCCTCGAAAAATGTCGTTTCGTGGACGAAGTGCCGTTCATCCACAGCTGGAGGATAAGCTAGCAAACTTTGTGCGGGAAGTTCGTGCGCGCTCGCTGCCAATGACCGTAGATACCATTCGCAAGAAAGCCGTGGAACTCGCTCGGGAAGCTGGGCTCACGAGAGAAGAGTTTCGTGCACCGAACTTTTGGGTGCGTCGATTCATGAGACGCAAAGGATTTTCTCTCCAGCGGCGCACATTCATCTGTCAAAAGTTGCCGGAGGAGTTCGAGGACAAGCTCATAAACTTTCAGCGCTTTGTAAACCGGCTTCGGGAGCAGAACGACTACATGATGGGGCAGATTGGCAACGCCGATGAGACCCCCGTGTGGTTTGACATGCCTTCGTCGATCACGATCATGCAGCACGGCGCCAAGGATGTGAAGCTGCTGTCCACTGGCAACGAGCACTCGCGCTTCACCGTCATGCTGGCATGCACGGCAGATGGTAGAAAGCTTCCGTCCTTCGTCATTTTCAAACGCAAAACAATGCGATGGTGCTACAGTTGGTGCGACAATGTGACAGTTGCGATGGTGGTAGAGGGGTGCTCCGACGATGGGGATAGGGTGCGCCCAATTCGCAAATAAATGTGGTTCGGCAGTTTTGGGTTGTTTTTCTTTTTTTTCTTTTTCGGTAACCTGAACTTGGGGGGTCGACCTATATTCCCACTCGACCTATAGTCCGGTTTATACGGTACTTATGTTATTGAGCAACAAAACTGTGGCAAGCGGCGGATAGCGAGACAGCACGCTAAAGACCAGCACAGGGCTGTTGTCGTATGTGTAGTTCGTCCGTTTCACACATTAAAAAATCCACAACACTCGCATATACTGCTTTTGTAACATACTGGTTAGATTCCTTTTTCTAAGCATATGTATAAGCACACTGTGAACGAGAGGACATGTTTACGTCATTTGGCTTCTGTTGCTGATTGGACATTGATATTTTAATGCAGTTGTAAGGTGCTCTGTTGACTCGATAGACTATTGACTCAACGGCCGTCAAAACTGCCCATGTGGTAGCTTGTGCTTGACAGTTGAGTCAATAGACCATCGTTTCAATTGGCTTCCAAAGGCCTGTGTGACACGGCCGTTACTCGTGGATATTTCGGAGCTTCATATTTTTAATGTTCTGTGAAATTTGCAGGTTAGCAGTAAGCAGCTGTTGCTCACTATCATTGAACTCTGTGCGATTATTTCTGTGCTTGTGATTTTGCAGATATTTCTTGAATCTAAGTCATCTTGCATCTTTTTGTGCAGGATATTTCTTCTTTTATTTTTGCACAGGCTTACTCAGTCTGCTGCTACTAGTAAAGTTAGCAAGAAAGTCGCTGGCTTTTTTTTTTTCATGAAAGGTATCACAAACGTAATAATTCAAGCTGTGTGAGATTTTCTCCTTTTTCTTCTTCTTATTATTATTATTCGAGACATGGTTCTGCAATCATGTATGTCAATTATCCCTGATACAGTATACTGGGGCTTATCTGGAGTAAACTATTTCTCATAAAAACATCTTTCAAATAAAAGCTGTTGAGGTCACAATTACTAGATTCTTGTGAGTGCCTGTTTACAAAGAAGTGCAGCAGTTGCAGTGTTGTTGCAGTAGTGCAGTTGCAGTGTTCTGTGGCCACTATAAAATTTTAGGACTCACTGGTGTGGCCCATGGTCCCCAGTGCTGTGGGTCACGTTAGCCTCAAATGTAATCTTTTTTTTTTTTATTACAAGTGACCATAGACTGAGAAGAAGTACTTGCTATTAGTTATCAGTAAACATGACATGAAAATCATTAGTGAAAAATGTTCAGATAAACTTGTTTGATGATTATATCATTCTTACAGCATAAAATTTTCCTGACTTTTTGTAGTGGCCGTGAATGAAAATTGCATGACTGTTATTGCACTGCTTATTCTCTTTATGTTCTGTTTGCTGGCAGGCAGCCGAACAGATAGAGAGGTTGTACAACTTATTTCTCAAAGTTGATGCCACTCAGGTTGAAGTGAACCCATTTGGAGAAACACCAGACGGAAGAGGTCAGTGCCTTTTAAACATTTTGTAGGCAGTAGTGTTATTGCAGCTGCAGGGCAAGCACTTGTTCTGCTTGTATAGTTTTTATATACCAGTTGTAGCAGCTCAGAGCATTTTACACTCGACAAAAGCTTGCACCTCTGGAGACATATCTTGTCTCCAATCAGTAGTTATCATCCATCTTGCTTGTTAATATAGTGATTGTGTCCCTTTCATTACCTGAAAGCACCAGGTGCTTAAAAGAAAGGAAATAGAGTGCAGTGTATATGATTATCAAGCTGGGACACGGGTTTTAGAAGGCCGAAAGTCGCAAAAAAATCGACTTTTTGAAGCTGGCATTTTGAAATCTGCCACTATTTTTTAACTCATCTGAGAAGTGTCTAGCTTTTTGTGTGATTCTGGCGCAAAATTAATTTATAAATTAACACCCCTGTGAGATGAATGTGAGCCCAAATAGACGCTAAAATCTCGCTTTTTCCGCACCATATCATTGCCGTTACGCACGAGCTATCGTGGTCATGTTGGTCTCGTTTGGAAGGGTCGTTCTTCATCATCAATTTCCCGCCACTGCTGGCTTGCCTTTTTCATTGGTATTTCAGCAAAAACGCGTTGTCGAGAAGCATCAGCGCGCGATTCTGTCGACTGCTTGGGGCACGTGACAAAACCTAGGCATCCGATTGGCCAAGTGGCGTATTCGGCATCTGCTTCACCGTTGAGACGTGCATGGACATGCACCATTTTGTCGTGGTACTGTTGACTGTCTGCGACACGGTGCTTGACGTGCCTTTGAAGTTGATGTGTACAGTCCACCTTTTGCATGCCTATACAGCTCCTGTGCAGCCCCCTGGCGGCGGCTCTGGGAAATGATCTGCGGGGCGCCGTTCTGTAATTTCACTGTGGCATCGGTGGTGAGAGCGGTGCGAGTGGTGCGGGCGGCGCAACCAATGAATTTATCTAACAATCTGGTTCTGGTAGTGGAAGTTATTATGACCAGTTTATTAACTAAAAAATGCAGTAGAGCTAATAAGTAAGCAATTACACCGAGAACTCGAGGAAGCGTGAATTTGTTGCTTTGCTGAAGCTCGGTAGAATCTCATGCGAGCGGATAATTACACTTTGTGGCTGTTTCTCTCAGACGCTGTTCGTGGATGTCGTATGTCTGTTTCTCCATCAACGCGTTTCTTTGCGTCTCTCGCTGCATTGCTCCTTTTCTCTTTTTTTTTATAACCATTGAAGGAGGATCCAATGCACACAGAAGGCTGTGCAAGGTTGCACTTCCGATATTTGGATATGTAAGAGCAAGTCCGGATCAAAGTGAGCGGTGACAGTGGCAGAAGCTCGCTCGCCACGATGCCCGGCGATTTGTTTCTGGAAGTGTCTGCGAGAGGGGGCCACTCAGACATGCAAAAGGTCAATTGTACACATCGTCGCTGAAGGTGATGTGTACAAGGTGATGTTCATGGGAATTGATCCTGCGTGCTATCGCAGCCACGAAATTTTGTGTTGGTACCCCTTTGAAAAAAATGCTTTGCAAGAGCCTGAGCTTCAACATGTGTATAAATTTCATCTAGCTGGTTTCATGTGTACTTTTTTCTTTGCATGGGCACCAGTTGTGTGCTTTGATGCGAAGATAAACTTCGATGACAATGCGGCCTTCAGACAGCAAGCTATTTTTGCTCAGGAAGACACATCTGAGAGTGATCCTCGAGAGGTGCTCGCAACCAAGCACCACCTCAACTACATTGGCATGGATGGAAATATTGCCTGCTTAGGTAGGTATGTGATGGCTTTGTCCATGCACGTTGTTTTTCAGTGCACTGTGAAAGCTTTTTATGGCAATAGGCATTAAAAAACATACAAAAGGTCTTTTCAAAAAATGTTTGATGCCACCATTTCTTCATTGAAGCACTGATCATTTTGTCTTTAAAAGGGCTTTTCGGGTACAGTGGGAAGGCCATAACATCTCTAAACACTTGTGAAAAATCTGATTTGGTATCTACAGTTTGGTGATTGCTGAACAGATGCATGTTTCAATTGCTAGTAAAAATATTTGAAACATCAAAGTTTTATTCACAAGCAACTGATCATCACAGCAGGCATGTGTGTCTATGATTTCTTTATATATTGTTGTCAGTAATGGCAGTTTAATTATTTCTAGAGCTGTCCCAATAACAAAATTTTGGATGCAAATCGAATTGAATATTTTTCATATACAGTAATACCTCGTTAACTCAATGTCTTAAAAACCAGAGAAAATTTCAATATGAACTGATTTTTGAGATAAGCAAAGTTGTGCTAATTGCCGGGAAAAGTGTGCGCTGTTCAGAAAGATTACTCCTACTTACCGGCTCTTCAGCGAAAGGTGCTAACCTTTCTTCTTGTGCAGGTTTAAAAGAGAAAAAAATAACATACAAGAGGCTTTGACCAGCTAGGTTTTGCCGCGCTGCTATTTTATTTAGCAGAGAAAAACTGCCTAATGCTCATCTGCTTTGCTGTCGTACTCGAGCCTAGGAAGGCGTCCTCCAGCTGCTTTGCGCATCGCATTAGTCCATCTTCCCCGCCCCTGCAGCCGACCCTACTTCGAAGCAAGCGAAGCAAATTTTTAGTCTAGGAAGGTGTCGGCACCTCTCGAGGTGGTTCATCATCGCCGTTGTCTCCGCCGTCCCTTACGTTAGGGACCATTTGAAGCATTTTAGCATCCGTCATTTACCTGGTCACTGCCGCATCCTGCTCACACAGCGCATACTCCAGAAAAGTCACGTCATTTTTGGTGGCGCCGTTACCTGTAAGCTTGGTGACCTCTTGGCAAAGTGCCTCACAGTCTCTGCTGAAATCCATCCAGCACTTCCTGCTTGTTTTTCAGCACCGTCGCAAGCGTAGACGAGGAGATGCAGAATGCCTGCACGATGCTCAGTTTCGTTCGGTCTCCTTTCTCCAATCAGTTTCGCTCCGTAAGTCGAGACGCTCCCTGGATTTCGTGGCGACCGGTTGTGCGCCCGCGCGCTCGCGACCTTCGGCGTCATCGTAGCTCTGGCCGACTGGGCTGGCCCTACGTCACCTCCTGTCGCCGGCTGTCTTCGGTGACAGCGCAGCTCTGACCTACTGGACCTGCTCTACGCCATCTACAGACGCCGACAACATCTCGCGCAAGTGTACCCCGTCCTCGGACTCCAGTGACCGTTTTCCATCTTTCCTGTCTCTCCTATCCCCTCAGTTTGTTGTTGCTTCTTCTTCCTCTTTCCTATACCTTTACCTCTACCCTTTATCCCTCCTTACCCCCATCCCTTTGTGAGCTCTGTGGCGGTGTCGCTCACTGAAGCAGACAATAACGGGGCTCACTTTTCTCTTCCTTTCTCTTAAGAACCACTCCGCTCCTTTCTCCACTTCCTTAATTAGGGCAACTTTTTTTTTTCCATCATTAGCGATTTGCATTGCTTTGATGCCATGCATGCTGCACTCTCACTAAGTTGCCGCTTCTCACAGTCAGCGAGAAATCCATACCACGTGTTTTGGGCTGATAAACGGAAACCCCTTCAATGGGGTCTTTAAGGTAATAAAATGAAATGAAATGAAATCAGACCTCAGGGAAAATGATGTGCACTACGCAAAGCGAACAAGACAAACTACGCCAAGCATGGGCAGAGGACCTCGCTGCTCCGCGCATGTGTCAAATGACATGCAACAGGGTTGTTTAAAAAAGTTGATATGTCGCTGGGCTGGGACTTCATGCACTTCGCATTTGCAGGAAGCATCGACGTAGTGGCAGGCGCGGCTAAATAAGAAAAAAAAAATCGACGGACTTCAGGCGTGGCAGCACTGCGCGAATAATGTCAAATGGTCTGGCAGCGAAATTTTTGTTCCACTCCCAGGGAATATTTTGAGCTATCTGCAATCTGACCTAAAAATACTTCGAGATAATGGTATGTATAGGAAATATCGTAGAACCTTGTTACAGTGAAAGCTCGTTAATTCACACCTCATTAATTCGAAATTTTGGGTAATTCGAAATGGTCGCAGCAGTCCGGTCCGCAGTGCATAGGAGAGACCATGTGTAAAACGATTCTTTAATTCGAACAGAAATTGCTGCCTCTACGGATAATTCGAAGCGCGCGCCGCCGGGCGTCATCATCGTCAAACACTAGTGGAAGCTTTTACGGTCGAACAATAGGTGGCACGACCAGTTTTTTCGAGCTTCAAGTGGCCTCCGAGCGAAGGGCGAGCAAAGTATGGCCTCCAAAATTCAGGGAGCAATTTTTTTTTTTTCGTAGCCCTCCCGCTATCTCAGCGCCTGCTGCCACTTGTACGCGGGACCCACGGGACGCTGAGGAGTCGGCGGAGTAGTCCTAGCAGTCCTAGGCCGCTCCCGGCAGCGTCACTTTGTTCCTGGAGCACGTTGTTCGTTCACGCCGTCAAGCCGTCTTATTTCGCATCGAAGTTGCAAGATGCCACGGGGAAACTACTGCGCGAAGACTGTCAAGGACAAGGAGAAGGTGGAGATTTTGCGAAAGGTTGACCAAGGGAACTCGAGCAAATACGAAATTGCGAGAAAGCACGGCATACCTCCGAACACGTTGTCAACCTACATATGCAACAAGACGGCCATTGAAAACGCCTATGAAGCCGAGGATTTTGGTGCCAGTCGAAAAAGGCTAAGGACAGCGAAGTTCCCGGAACTGGAGTCAGCTTTGATCATCTGGTTTAAAGAAATGAGAGCCCTGAGTATCGCATTGAGCGGCCCTATCATCGTGGCCAAGGCAGCCGATTTCGCCCTGCGCTTGGACATTGAAGACTTTGTCGCTTCCGAGGGATGGTTTCATCGTTTCAGGGAGCGGCACAATCTCGTATTTCGCACGTTATCCGGCGAGGCAAAGGAAGTAAACGCCGAAACATGCGCTACTTGGAGAAGCGACACCCTGCAGCAGTACTTGGAGAGCTACTCACCACAGGATGTGTTTAACGCTGACGAGACAGCGTTATTTTTCAAGTTGCAGCCAGACAAGACGATCACCTACAAGGGAGACAGCTGTGCGGGCGCAAGCGCAGCAAAGAGCGTGTCACTGTTCTGGTTGCCGCAAATATGACCGGTACGGAAAAGGTCCCCCTTTTTGTGATTGGCAAAGCACTCAAGCCACGGTGCTTCAAAAACATTCGCTCACTGCTGACAAAGTACGCCGCAAACAAGAAAGCCTGGATGACAGGTGACCTATTCAGGAAGTGGCTACTGAAATTCGACAGGCGAATGGAACTGGGCGGCAGACGCGTTCTTCTTGTCGTTGACAACTGTTCGGCGCACAAAGTCGACGTTGAGCTGAGAGCAACTAAGTTGGTGTTCCTTCCGGCAAATACGACTGCGGCCCTACAGCCAATGGACCAGGGTGTGATAAGGAACATTAAGTGCTTTTATAGGCGTCACGTGCTGGAGAGAATGATTTTGTGCGCGGGCGACAGGAAGGACTTCGGCATTACGCTGCTCACTGCCATGCACATGTTGGTGCGCGCATGGGAACAGGTGATCGCGACCACAATCGCAAACTGTTTCAGCCACAGTGGATTTGCAGCTGGAAGTGCGCAGGATAGTTGTGACGTCGACGTGGATGGGGCTGAGGAGCTCATGCCAGCGGCGTTGCGTGACACTCTTCGGGGCTTACGTTTTGCCGATTATGTTGAAGTTGACACCGGTGCATCGGTGTGTGGTGCCCTGACTGATGAGGACATTATCGCTCAAGTAGCCGATGCGCAGCCTGATGCTGAAGAGCCAGAAGGTGAGGAAGACGAAAATGACGAAGCGCCTGTGCGCCCGTCAGCTTCTGCGGTGATGGAGGCACTTAATGTGGCGCGTCTCTTCTTCAGCTTTGAAGAGGGTGAAGAGGATTCCCTGCGCGCGTCCGCGCGCTGGAACAGGGAGCCACAGCTGTGGCATTCAGAGGAAAGAAGCAGATGGTCATCACAGACTTTTTTGGCCAATAAATATTTTTCGTGCCCCCACCCCCGAAATCCACCCATTTTCGCTCACTTTCATTATTTCGAATTTTGTTTAATTCGAAATTGCTCAGCGTTCCCGTGGAATTTGAATTAACGAGCTACTGTATAACGAAGTGGGATATAATGAACTAATGGATATAACGAAGCAATTTTAATTCTTGAAATTCCCATAGATGCACATTTATCTAAAACTTCGTTTTAACGAAGCAAAAATTTTCTCAGAATGAATATAACAAACCATCCTTTGTCCAGAACTAGCATTTACTGAAGCAGGACTGATAGTTGGGCTAGTTGGTGATACATTATGGGCAGTACCAGCGCACAAACTCACGGGACGAAGAGAAGAGACACAAATAAGCGCTTGTTTGTGTCTCTTCTCTTCGTCCTGTGAGTTTGTGCGCTGGTACTGCCCATAATAGCATTACTGATCATTTTGGTATACATCAATTCAATATTTTATAGCGTGCGACTGTTTACGTCTCATCGCAGCTGCGGTTATTCAAAAATTGTGCCTTGCGCTTGCCGGGAGTCGCCTCCCAACACGCACGTTGGTGTGAGTCTCCCTGCCTCCCCTTTCCTCAGGAACTAATGGACTTGCCTGCGCAGCAACTTGAGCGAGCGTGCGCGTCATCCGGCCTTCCCTCCCCTGTAGAACTCGTTCACCCACCCGCGCACCTGACCTCCTTGTCCTTTTCAGCTCAGCGCTGGGACGGCGCAAATTGTGGCTTTGTTCTTTGTCGTTCGCTGTGGAAGAGCAACACTGCCTCTATTAGTTTCTGCCACAATACACGAGATGGACAACAGCAGCGACACACGTAAGAGCAAAAATATAACAATCGAGCAGAAATCGGATCGACGATGAAAGTCGTTGAGTCCGGCATCGAGGAAAAAAAAAAAAAGTTGTCGGAGATTTCGTCAATGTCGCCAGTGATCGAGGATGCCGCGGGTGTCCAGGCCCACACGTTGTGGGCTGCTCTCCTTGACACCGGCGTTGTACCTAACTGTGACACTTCCTGCACGTACGTCAGTGCTGATGCTGACACGGTGACGAAAGAGTTGTCAGATGCGGAAATAGTGCGCTCAGTGACTGGGGTGCATGACGACAGTGACGAATGTGTCGACACCACGGAGCCTAATATTGGCGAACCCGACGTACCAAGGCCCGCGCAAAGCTGAATGCGACAAACCTGCTGCACCGTTTCTTTTGTGCTTACGATGATGACAAGGACAAACTCGAAATAACTGCTAGAGCTGAAAGATTGCAGTCATCCGCGTGAAGAAGAGTCTGTAAAAGTCTATTAAGGACTATTTCTCTTCGATGTGATCTGCTAGCTGGTGTGCTGAATTTGGTAGAAATAAAAGTGCACTGTTATTTATCATTTTGCTAGTTTTTTTTTCCGACAGCCGTTTTTCTCTGCATGGTGGGCTGCTGTGATTGGGTAGTGAGTACATTCTCTTTTGCTGGCTAATTGTTATTAGAAATGGATATTGGCTATAATGAACTAATGGTTATAACGAAGTAATTCATCTTTCCCTTTAGCTTCCTTATAACAATGTTTGACTGTAGAGATATACATGGGACGTATAGGAAAATGTTCGGTGCTGCAAAAAATTTTAACTCGGCCGATTTTTCGGGATATGTGAGTTCGAGTTAATGGGGTATTGCTGTATTGGTCAAATATTTTTTCATTACACTCAAACCTCGTTATAATGAAACCAGGTATAGTGAAATATTGGTTATAACGAAATAAATGAAAAATAGTGTTGCAACAGATATAGTGTTAAAAATAAACAAACAAACCTTTATAACGAATTTTTGGATAAAACGAACTTATTTTCATGTAAGATGCAAGTTTGTTATAATGAGGTTTGAGTGTACTTTGAAGCAATGTTGAAGAAAAAAAGTTCAAGAGGATTTCAAAGTATATTCTAATGAGATAGCAATATAAAGTGTTTATTTTGGCTAGGTTGATGAAGTGCTGGTGGGGTGGTGTTTCATAGTCGTCTTATCAAGAGTGAGGCAATGCAGAGGCCAAACTGTATTTATGTGGATGGTGCCGTGCAACCAGAGTGTTGCCAACAACATTTTGCACGTGAAAGGCAAAGATGCTATTTTCTCTGCCACTCCTCCTCTTCCAACTTTTGTGGAAGCCCAACGGGTGTGGTGGACTAGGGTGTGCTCCCTTCGAGTCCGGAGTTCCAAGTATTTTTTCTGGATGTCATTATATAAGAACATCTAAAATTTTGGATGCTATAAAACCTTTCGGTGTTTGATTTTTCTAACTTCCTGCCCAAATTTCAGGTCCGAGCAGCATTGATTGAGCCCCCACCTCTGCAAAATCTATTATCTTCATTTGTGATCATAGCAGAGCCTGAAAGACAGCATTGCCGCAGTACAAGTGTGTTGGAGTGAGGCATGTTAAAAGTCTGAAGGGGCCACTGTCATTGGAGATCGATAGTATGTGTTTTTAGGAAGTTTGAATAGTTTCGAATAGTAAAATTCTTTTGTGTTTCTTCAATTTGTGCACTACCCAACAATGAGTAAATTTCTAGTGCAAATCAATTCGGATAGCAAACACTATTAAAAAAATATTTGAAGTTTCGAATATTCGCGCACCCCTAATTATTTCTCATCAAAGGAATATTGAACAAAAATCATAAAAATTACAAAAACATTGAAATTCTGCTGGAAAGGCACGGCTGTTCCGATGAAAAGAGAGCTCAATTCTCATATTTTTAAACAGTTGACAATGTTATTGGACTTCTCTTGTCACCGCGCAGATAAAGTGTCCATGTGTTTCCCCTTTCTCCACCTCTCCTTTGTATCCCACTCCTTCACTAAGACGCTGCCTCCTGTTTTGGGGCTTTACCCCACCCAGAAGCATTGTTGTTTGTAGTGGTTCTAGGAACTGTAGTGGGGCTGAGTGGGTTGGCAGATGTGAACAATGGCTGGCATAGCTGGCATGCCCATTTCCAGTGGTGTCACCTGCTCTAGTTCGCAAAACGTGGCAATTTGTGGAAAACGCACTAAATGCATTATTTTATGATAGTCTCTGTCTGAAATGAAGGTTTTGTCTACAGATTTCAGCAGCCACTCTTTTAGTTTAGCTCAGAATTTTGGTGGCAAATATTTTGTACAGTATCCCTTTAAGCTATTAAAGGTTAGATTATTTTCCTTTGTTAATGTACAGGCTGTTCCACACTTTAGGGAAAACTTGCATTGCAATGTGCCCGGCATTTTCCCCTCAGTTTTAAACGGCTACATCTGTGTAGAGCACGCAAGTTGTCGTTTTTAGCTTTGTGAGGCGAGGTAGTTTCGGGCTGTAATTTCACGAGCCTAGTAGTCAGGCTCACCATGTGATGCCTCGACGTGTCACCCCGCAGAGCAAAACCAGCTGCTCTTCACAGACGTGGCCACCGCTGTACGTGTCCATGTAAGGCTGAGACAGCTAAATACAGTCAACTGACGTTTTTTCGGACCCTCTAGGGAGCGAAAAACCGTCCGAAAATTCGGGCAGACCAAAAAAATGAATGCAAGCAAAGAAAAAAACGCATTATTTTACTGACAATTTTCAATGCAAGCAAAAAAAAGCGCACCATTTTGCTAATATCTTTCAATGCAAGCAAAAAACGCACCGTTTTTATTGATATTTCTTGAATCAACAGGATTAAAGTCGAAGTACCACGCTTCCAGAACTCTGCCAAAGCATAAGTGGGGTGGCTCTGAAAAGAGCCGTTGAAAAAAAAATGCATGCAGCCGAAAGCAGGTACCCTTAGGGCAGCCGGTGTTAGAGCTGCAGTGGCTTGAAAAACTTGTTGATCCTTGTTTGAACGGCGTGCCCCTTGCATGTGATCACATTCGCCTCGATCTGAGCAAGGGTCATGTCATCACTGTACACTGATGACAGCGTCATCAGTGCTGAACTCTTTGCTCACGTCAGCCAGCGATCGGCCACTCTTCACTAACTTAATAAGGGCGGTTTTCTTCTCCATCATTATCCGACGGTACTGTTTTCTGCGATTCGATGCCATCGGCGAGGACGACGAAGGCAGAGTGGGGGCCATCGCAGGCAAGCGAAATGTGAACAAAGGAGTTTGCTGACGAGCGTCGAAGCACCTAGGCTTAGCGTTGCAGAGCGCACTTCATACGATCGCACAACCACGCACTAGGCTAGCCAAACACCATGTGGGCTGCGTAAACAAAACGGCGCGACGGTACTTTGGAGGTGGCGCTGGTAAACATTCAAGATAGCCAGCGTGGCCAGACCAAATCGGTGTGTGACGGTTAGTTTTAGTTCGAAGTGGTGAAACGCTTCGCGAAAGCGCTGCGCGGAAAGCCAGAGTGGCACGCACAAGCGCTAAAGCAAAAGAACTTCATTGGCGCCGAAAATTTCCGGGTGGATAGTTTCGATTGTCAGCGAAGCACCCTTGCACGACAAACACAGCCAGTGTTAGGAATCTCGGAGGCCATGTGTGTTTCTCCGCTAACGATCGAGTCCAAGCAACAGATGCCGCCACAGTAGACCGGCGCGCTCATTCATGCGATCGTAATCACGTGTGACGCAGTTGTGGTGGTTTCCTGGTTTCCGACCTTCCGTCGCGCCAAAAAGTCCGAAAAATTAGACTCCGGGGGGTTCGAGCGGCTGAAATTTCAGACTTCCTTATACATTGATTCTATGGGGCTCGTGACGGTGCCGCGAAGATGTCCGAATTATCGAGCATGTCTGAAAAATCAGGATTTAACTGTAGATTACTGAGATGACTATGTTTTTCTCCCCTGTGGCAGTCAATGGTGCAGGCCTGGCCATGGCCACCATGGACATTATCCAGCTTTATGGCGGTACACCAGCCAACTTCTTGGATGTTGGTGGCTCAGTCAAAGAAGACCAAGTCACAGAAGCCTTCAAGATAATTACCGATGATCCAAAGGTAGGCCACCCGCTCATGACTGTATCAAAGATAGCGTCAGCACATGCATCATAAAAAAACAATTCTACAGCTAGTCCCTGGCTGTAGAGCTCACAACCAATGGCTGATTGACGAAAATTTTCACGCTGCCAATGTGATCAGTTGGGGTGAAGAACAATGTTAATGCCGGTTGTATTCTGTGAAGTACTTCACTCTTTCATATGTGTTTCAGTGTTGTTGTTATGAACTGTACTTATGATTAAGAATAGTGCAGTACATGCATGCATCATTGCAGGTCAAAGCTGTCCTTGTGAACATCTTTGGAGGCATTGTCAACTGTGCTACCATTGCAAACGGAATCACGAGTGCATGCCGCTCAATAAACCTCACTGTTCCTCTTGTGGTGAGGCTGGAAGGTGAGGCTACACTTCTTGCTTTTGACGAGCTCTCTGTATGTCACTAAGCATTTGAGGCTTGTGCGAATATTCGAGTGCTCCGAATATTCAAACGAATATTACAGTATTTTCATATTCAACTCAATTTTATATTATTGGAAACTTTGAAGTATTCGAAATGAATGAATTGATGTATAGTGAAACTTTTAATATGTCCCCTGGTTTTGCGACAATCTGCTTTTTATGACGGATCAGAAGTAATGTATTAAAAACTTTCGTTATACGACACAGTTTTGCACCAATCCTGTATCTTTACAATGACTTCCCGATTCTGTCCAACCTTTAAAAAAAAAACACCTTTACTCGCATCGAATGTAGACAAGATATTCACTAGTGCAAAATATGAACTTGCATTCTCCTTGGTTGATTAGATATTGAGAGATTGGGACAGGATATGCATATGCCTTGATCGCATGTGTACATAGAATCATTTACCTACAGAAGCTCTATCCACACAGAGGAGCTCCTTTTGGCTGAAAAGTTCGCATTCAATATCTTGATATTTTCACGTCCTCGGTTAGTGAAAGCTTTTCCTCATTGACATTAAGCTGATCTCCTGCCTTTGTTTGTGGCACTCATAGTCACAAGCTTGAGCACACAAAATGGCGTGATGCAGCTGTTTTCACCGTGCAAAATAACTTTCACATGATGTCAACCTTCATTATAACAAGTGGACATCACTAGTTGCGCTTCATAAGGCAACAAATCAACTACAACGCGCACAGCTCAGTCGAACATGAAGGCATTCTTGATGAAACTTTTTGTAACTCTCCTGATGGGAGCTTTGTAACTCTCCTGATGGGAGCCTGTTAGAACATGGTTTTAGGTTCGTGCGCAGGCAATTTTTGGACTCTATTTATTGGGGAAAGATGCATGTTGGGTTCAATTTTTTAAAATTCAGAATAAAGACTCGCTCGCACCTCCTTCAACCAAGTAATGCTGCCGCTGGCAATAATGTTTTAGTCAACCTTTTTTTGGGGGGGAAGCACAAAGTCGTGCCATGGGCTTATTTAGGCAGTCTGTACCCTCTTTTTGGGCAAGGCTGACTGTCGCTGCATATATTGTTAGTTTTTTTTTTTTATTGTACAATGCCAGTATTATTCGACAGTTTTGCATGGTCCCCTAAAGGTCGTGTCATTGGCTTTCCCATAATATATTACTGTAGACTCTCGATAATACCAACTCTGATAATTTAAACTATCGGTTAATTCAAACAAAATTACATTTTTTGGTTGGCCCTCTATTTTTTCAATGTATTTAAAAGCCGCTTATCAAACTTCATCATTCGGTTAATTCATACTTTTTGCAGTTTCATATCGAAAAATATCTGCTGCTTTCCCACCACTATTTAAAAATTTGCGTGCTTATATAATCCTAACAGTCTAAAAGTGAAAGATAGGCACCTGAGTAACTAAAGGAAAAAGGCTTTGCTAGTAAACAAATGCTTGAAACAAAGCACACGCATGGTAAACCACGACACTTCTCAAGTGGTATAGAGAGCTTTGTGCTGAAGTCACATACTTATAGCAATTAAGCAGTTGGCAATTCACAATTTCTTTAAAAGGTCTGTTCAGCAGTAAATGGCCAATAAACTTGTGGACCTTATTTCTCTGCTTTTTGTTCATTGCATGCATTTCGAGCTTAAAGACACTTAAAATATTTTTAAATGGGATAAAATCAATGCCTAATAATAATGTGTGGTGTTATCTCACCCAGAGTCATCTACCTGGGAACTTCTGATAATTCAAATTTCTTGATAATTCAAACAAAATTCAGAGGTCCCTTTGAGTTTGAATTAACAAAAGTAGACTGTAGTTCGAGTGTGACCCTTGTAAAGCTGGTTTCACTGCAGTGTAGTGGTGAAATAACGTGAAAACATTTAGGGGAAATTGCACTGCTGTGAAAGCCCCTTTGAAGGTAAATGAACATATTGCCCTCTCATCGATTAATCATTTTTGAAATTTAAAAGCTTGTTATACCAGCCTACATTCTGAAAGTATAGTCAATTTTAAAACATAGCATATGTGACTGGCATTCTACCAAAATTTTGCTACTAGTATTCGAGGTTGTTTTTACTTCCTTTGAACTAAGCAGGCAGGTGAGGGGGCTTCGGAGAATATTAGTACCCATGCACAACACTCATCGTAGCAACTTGTCACATGCTGCTGTGCCTACGAAGTGACGAAAACGAAGTGAACGTAGTCTCGAGGACACGAGCGCACGGGTTATTGAAAACCGACACCTTGGTTGGCGGCACGCCATCTAGTGAGCATTGTTAGAATCATTGAGAAGTTTACACTGGCAACACAGGTGTACATGCAGGCATTGCCGGACAGAGTGCAAGCATAAGAAGCTTGCTGAGCAAAGCTCCTAAAACCTACTAATCACACAAGCCTACTAGAAATGTAACATTATGAAATAGATCTGTGTGACTAGAAGGTCTGTCTGATCCTAGAAGAGGAAATGTCTCCAGCCACAGTTTTGTAAATGAACCCAACGTTTTGGGACCCATTCAGTCCTTTCCTCTGGAGTGACTGCATTGGTTGTGATAGTGGCGTCACTTCTTATTCTCCCACCTCGGCTTCCCTTTTTTTATGGCGTCTCGAAGTATGCACTTAAACCGAGGGCTTTGTTCCCAGCTAGTAGTTAATGTGCCCAGGGGTGTGCAGGATGGGCCATGACACAACTTCTGGCACCAGTTCAAGAAAAATGCAAGTGCTGCTAGTTCCCCTTTGTTGACATACTCCCATAGTTTTTCTGCCACTGACCAGTATGCAAGGCGCTGGTCAACTTTTTTTGCGTTTCTTTTTATAATAATTTTTGGGGTTTAGCGTCCTTATTTTCAAAAAATAAGAAGCAATGTTTACGGTTTACCTTTTTTATTTAAGCATTTTGAGTTCCTCGCTCTGTGCAGCAAGGGACGCAGCAATATGTCAGCATTGCGGTTTCGGCCAATAGGCGCCTCATGTTGATACATCTTAAGCATGCATATACGTAAACGTATGTGGTGTGCGTACTGTGCTGCACTGAGCCTCTAACATGGCGGTATGCCCACGACGGCTAGCAGATGGCAGCAATTTTGCATGGGGTCAATAGTATACTGTGACGGTAGTTATAGCGCGAGAACAAAACGACGACACAGAGACAAGGAGGACGCACTATAACTATCGTCATGCCATACCAACTAGCCCAAGCTGCCACACTTCTAAGTATACTGTGACTTTATTAATAGCTGACTCTACGTCTTCGTAGAAGCGTTCAACCAAATTATCATCAAGGCTCGATGTAGGCCTGTACCACCTTCATCGTGTACCTCTTGTTAAACTTGATTATGAGACTTGCCAGCAATACTCTTGTGTATAAGAAACCCCACCCCTAGTTCTTTTCTGTCAACTAATCCACGGTAGCATAGGACATGTCCGTTCTCCAGCACTGTATAAGCCTCACATGTCCTCCCGACTTCACTGAGCCCTATTATATCCCATTGAGCACCCTTTAATTCTTCAGATAAGACAACTAGACTAGCCTCACTAGATAGTGTTCTAGCGTTGAATGTAGCCAAGTTCAGATTCCAATCATTTCCAACTTCCCATGAATACAGCAATTACCAGTAACCGCAGAGAGAAGATCAATTGGCATGCTCTCTGTAGTTACCAGTCTATCTATCACCTATGGACATGTGTGATGCACTACACTCAAACCTCGTTATGACGAAGTTGAAGGGGAGCCACAATTATTTTGTTATATACATTATTTCGTTATATCGATTATAACAGTTTGGTGCAATGTACGCTCAGATGGATACACAACTATAAGCATGCAAAGAAGGAAACCACCTCGCGGCCCGATGTGCCGCTTCGCGACCACGCATGCGACGGAAAATAAGCACAGTCGAGTCTCATTAATTAGAACACGGTCAATTCGAACTCATGCTGTGGTCTTGTCAAAGCTATATGTATTCCAATGGACGAAAACGCCCTGTGATTCGAGCGCGCAAGCTTTTGCGACAGTTAATTCGAACGTACCGCGTTCCAAAAATGTTCTCAGCACCGTGCCCAGTCCCGCAGCGTCACCTCTCAACGCTGCGCACGAAGAAGGAAAAGAAGAAAAGGAAGGAAAAGAGTGTGGCGAATTGTTTGCTCTCTCTCAAATGCCGATCTGCGACAGGGTTGTGTTACGCTTCTCCCTTTTCCGTCTCTGCACGTAGAGACCCTTTTCCTTTCAAGGCCGTGCACGGGGAGAGAGAGAAAAAAAAAAAGCTGTCGCATAGAGTTGGCTCTTTCTCGGCTCTTTCTCTAATGCCGATCTGCTTCTCTCCACGTGGAGACGTTCCTTCTTTCTCGGTGCAGAGGGTAGCAGCGAAGACGCAATCATTGCCATCATCTTTAGAGAGCATTGGCGCTGGACTTCGCCGCGCGCTACTATGCTTTGCAAACTGCATGCGAAATTTATTGACTCGCTGCAAGGCAAACCTGTGCAGACGCGCTTCGCCGATTACTTCAATTAATGACGGATGTCTTCTGATTTGTGAATAAATGTAAGTCTTCTGAAGCTTCCCCATCGTGTGTTCTTAAGTGAGAAGAAAATCGCTTTGCACCGCGACAGCGCTTCTCCATCATGTGACCCGCTGAGCGCTTCCTCAATCCTCTCCGCTGGCTGTGTGAGAAGGACGGCTCTCTCGGCCTCGCGTGGCTTGGCTGTAAGGTTGGCGTGGGAGTTTTGAAAGAGCCACGCCAAATGATATACTTAACAGACAACGGTAGTTTTTTTGTTTTTGGTAGACTAATTTGGTTCGTTATATTCATTTACCAGTCAATTTTACATTGTTACGAGGTTTAAAATGCACAGTTCTGATTGGAGCTTTTCAGGGGAGTTTCATTTACTTCGTTATATCCATTATTTCGTTATATTCCATTATGTTATAACGAGATTTGAGTGTAGTTGTTTAAGAGAATATTATTGGTCCAATAATTAAGTTATGAAAAGTATAGCCATGAAGTGATATAAACATGAATTGGTTTAACGTTTCTTCAGAATTTTCTTCTCATTGAAACACTCGTGTTGGAACTGCTGATGAAACACTCTGAAATCACTTTTACAGGAACCAATGTTGAAGAGGCAAGGAGCATTTTGAGCTCCAGTGGATTGCCCATCACCACCGCTGCAGACTTGGATGATGCAGCGCAGAAAGCTGTAGCCAGCCTCAAAGGTTGATTCACAGGTGCCTTCACTAGCCAAGGTAGGGTACACAGACATTCCTGTTGAGGTAGATTCAAAAAATATACATGTACATGCAGCATACATATTTTATACCCGAGCAATGAGAGGGAGCCACAGTCGCAAGTAGCGCTGTCGCACGTGTTGTCGGTGTTGCTCCTCCCCGCAGTTGCTTGGCCGACTTCGCAGTGTGCGCGGCTTTCATCGTGCTTCTTTTCTCTTGGTGTTGTGACCGCGTGCACATGTGCTTATCCTCTACGACTTTGATCATCTGTGAATTGTGAGAACCTAACACTATCGGCTACAGGATGTCTTGGAGCTGCCAAGCTTTATGTTGCCAATTTGCTTTGTGCCCAACTGCAGCAGCGGGTACAAAAGCAATTGAAAAAAAGCGGCACTTGCTTGCACCGCCGTCCGATGCGCCGCTTCTTGAAAAGTGTGTGGGAGCTATTCCCCATGCCAATAAACTTATGAGCAAGACATGCAAGGTGTGTTACCTGCATTTTATGCAACATGACATTGTAAAGAGTTGCAAGCATGTTGTTGACATAGACTGCGGCTGTTGGGCATTACTATCTGAAGAGGTGCTGTGTCAGTTTCTGAATGTTCCAAGCTATTTTTTGTCAAGAACGATGAGGAGGCGGCGGTTGCCTAAAGATGGGGCCAATTTACCCAACAAAGTCATACTTGTTGCTATGCCATCATATAGGAACCAGCAAGAAGTTTCTGATTTCATGCACAACATTGATTTCGCACCGATTGTCCAAAAACGACTCATCTTTAAAGCTTCCAAAAAAAAACTGGAGAATGGCGGACCTTGAGGTCAACACTGGTAAAGCTCGGCAGGTTGTCTTTTACAATGCATGAATGTAGGATGTTTATGCGATCCTGAAGAGCATCGCAATTCATGAGGACCTCACATACGTCATCCATGCAAAGGGAAGACTTGCGCAGCAGGAATGCAAAGATTGACATATCTTCTGCAAAAATGTAGAAGTCATTATACAAAGTGTGCACGCAAAACAATTTTGCCGTGGTTGCCTTCTTATCGATGTCACCCGCTCCAGCAGAGTGACAAAAAAAAGTTGGAGGTGGGCTCTATCACAACGATTGCTTAAAGAGGATGCCTTTGGTAGGCGTGTGTGGTAGCAAGTTATATTGGACGAGGAAAAAACCATTGCAAATGCAGTACTAGGCGTCGTACACGCAAGCGGTTCACACACATAAGAAAAGAGTAAACAGTCTCACAGACTGTGCCGTAGCCCGGTGCCTTGAAGTGGGATCCGTTGCGTGCTCGGATGCAGTCGTCGCTTGGGTGCAAAAGTCAGCATACCGCTGTAAAGGGCATCGCCAAATCTAGGCGTAGCCGCACACTGTCAGCGATGTCTGCTCGCTGGACGTGGTCAGCAGCTCCGGTCTTTCGAGGGCGCTTGCCGTACCGGAGATGTTCGCAAAACCACTCACCCAGAACTCGTGCCTAGCCACGCCGACGTGGCTAGGCACGACGTCAATGGCTCGAAGACAGGAACCCGGCCTTTCGAACCCCGTGCGTAGTTGCGGGTTCGCCCTAGGCTCCCATGCGTCGTCTCGTCAGCGTCCGAACAGCTTCGTTCTGCGCGAGCGCCTTCTCTTCTTTCTTCAATGGGCGCGCTTCAATGCCTCTTCATTTTTATCATCTTCCAGGTGATGTGGCGCTGTCGTCTGCTATGCTCACATTTTCCAGGCTACTACATCACAGCGTGAGAGGCAATACTGGTCATCGAGTGTGAATACCGTAATTACTCGAATCTAACGCGCACCTTTTTTCCGGTTAAGCGAGTTCATAAATCGCATGCGCGTTAAAATTGAGTGCGAAAAAAAAATGAATACGGTCATTTTATTGCCATCGGCATTTCTTAAATGGCCGCCCCTACGTGCTTTGGCAAGGCGCGTCGGCCATTTCTGCCTATGTGTTTCCCATGAGCGGCACTTCGTACGTGTGCTGAGGAGTTCGTCATCTTGTAGTTCATTAGCGTCGACGGCATGGAAGGGCCGACTCCAAAAACTCGACGAGTGCACCACGATGCCACTTTTAAAAGAAAAGTCATCGCGTGTGCCGAAACAGACGAAAATCGGGCCGCATCGCGGTCATTCGGAGTTCCCGAAACGTGCGTGTGGGACTGGCGGAAACAAAAGCAGAAGATTGTCAAAGATTCACGCAAAGGCTTCAGTGGTCCACAGTAGGGTTGGTTTCTGCAAATTAAAGAGCTGCTCGCCGAGTACGTGCTTTAGCAGCGAGCGGCACAGCAGCCCGTGACGACAGAACTGCTCTAAGTGCGGGCTATGCAGTTAGCTTTAGAAAAAGGGCTAATGCGGAGCCAGTTCAAAGCGAGCAGGTGCTGGCTAACTAACTTTATAAAGAGGAAAGGTTTCTCCCTCCGAAAGCGAATGCGCATGCGCCAAAACTTGCCGGAGGAGTTCGAAGAAAAGCTTGACAGGTTCGTCCTAAACTTGCGGCAACCAAACGGCTACCTGCTTGGGCAAATCGGGAATGCCGATCAGACGCCTCTTTACTTCGACATGCCTGGCACCACAACCGTCGAGAAGAAGGGGGCGAAGCAAGTTCACATGCTGACGTCGGGCCACGGTAAAACAAGAGTGACGGCAATGCTCCGTTGCACGTCAGATAGGCAGAAGCTTCCCTCGTATCTCATATTTAAACGGAAGATGCTCCCAAAAGGAGTCGTTTTCCCGAGTAGCTTGATCGTGCGGGCCAACGAGAAAAATGGGTGCGCGTTGCAATCGATATCTTACTTTTTTTTTAGTCGTGAAAACAGAGTGCGCGTTACTATCGAGGGAGCGGTAGAATCGAGTAAATACGGTACAGTCGACTCTCATTAATTCAAACTCGAAGGGACCCCTGGATTTTGTTTGAATTATCAGGCTGTTTGAATTATCAGAAGTTCTCATATATGCGACTCTGGGTAAGGTGACAGCACAAATTATGATCAGACATCTATATTCACACTTTTAAGCATCTCTAGATCCTAACTACACAAAAACAGAGAGCGGTGCATGTATGGTCAACAAATTTATTGACTATCTACTGCTGACTAGACCTTTTAAAAAAATCATGGATGGTCAACTGCTTATTTGCCACATGCGCATTTAGCACAAAGCTCTCGATGCCAGTAAGTGCTGCCAGTTGATTCTGAGAGTTTTCTCTTGTTGTCAGAAATTTTCTCACTTTAGCAATGTACTGGAAAGCCTGTGCAGTTGTCACATTTTCCACTTCCGGTTCTTGTTCACTTTCACTGCTGTGTTGTGCTGGCAGCACCTCTGCCACCACGTCATCGAGTGTGTCCTCCCTGCACACGCACAGGTTATCATCAGTAGCTGCATAACTGTCGAGGTCGGCAGCTATGTTGTGCGCTTTTAGAGCAGACAGCACTTGGCTTTCATCGTCGCCCTCAGTCTGCAAGCAGTCAGATGAAGTGGAAATGCTGCAGCCAGGTATGCGGAAGGCATGCTCGAAGCAGTTCCTTATTGTTGCTGATGTGACAGCATTCCATGCGTCGGCGAGCATGCCCAACGATGAGAGTAGTGTGACACTGTAAGGCATGGAATTGTCCATACATATCAGCATTCTCTTTAGCAGTGTTTTCCGGTAATTAAGCTTCAAGCATTTGATTACCCCTTGATCCAGGGGCTGGAGGACAGCTGTAGTGTTAGGAGGCAGAAATTCAAGGCGAATTGCTTCCAGCCCCTCCACGTCGCCATGCGCAGGGCAGTTATCAACAATGAGCAAAATTTTCCTTTTCGCTCGCTTCATTTGCCCATCCAGTTTTCGGAGCCAACCCTCGAACAAAGCTTGCGTCATCCAGGCTCGCGTGTTTCCGTCATATGCAACTGGGAGTGTTCGGACGCCTTTAAAGCACCTGGGACGCTTTGACTTGCCCACAACGAAGAGTTCTGGCTTGTGACTTCCGTCCATATTGGCGCAAACCATGACGGTGAACCGTTCTTTGCTCAGCTTTCCGCCAGTGCAACGCTCTCCCTTGCGACACAAGGTTTGATCGGGCAGGCACTTAAAAAACAGCCCCATTTCGTCGGCATTATATACATCAGCCGGGGAGTATTCAAGCAGCAGGCTTTGAAGTCTAGTCTGCCGCCAGTCAGAAGAAACAGCTTCATCGACCACTGCTGCTTCACCACTCACTGTTTTGAAGGAGAGACCGTGGCGTTCCTTGAACCGAGAAATCCAGCCATCGCTGCACTTGAAATCTTCAATTCCCAAGCGCAAGGAAAGTTCTTCAGCTTTCTCTCGTAGGATTGGCCCATTTATCGGTAAGTTGGAGCTCCGTGCGCGCTTGAGCCAAAGAAGCACGGCGTTTTCGAGATCCGGGTACCCAGCTTCCCTAAGCCTTTTCCGATCGGGAGCTAAGTGGCTCGCGTTATTCTGCAGCTTGTCTTTGGCTTTCAGAATGGTTGTGAGAGTACTTTTGGTTATTCCATACTTCAGTGCCACTTCGGTCTTCTTTACCCCAGCGTCGACTTCTTGGATAGCGACCAATTTCTCTTTTAGGGGTAGTGTCCGATATTTTCCTCGCGGTGACATGGTCGATCGAAAAATGCGCAGCACGTAAGAAAGACGGGCAGACCTGTACGCCTGTACGCCACGGAGCCTGTACGCATTCTGTGGGCAGGTCACGTGCTTCGGAGTCGGCCGGCGCCACCGGCACGCCGGAAAAGCAGAGATAAGCCGCGAGCCAGCTTCGTAACCACCGGGCCGTTTTTGTTTTTTGTTTTTTTTTTTTCCACCGCGGCGCGGAATGCTGAGAAATGATTGTGTGGCAAAACCTTTTCCCTTGAAGTTTTAAGGCGCTTATTTTTCAATATCAGACTATTATGATAATCATAAGCACGCAAATTTTCAAATATTGCCGGCAAATCAGCAGAAATTTTCCGGTATGGACAGGCAGAAAGTACGAATTAACCGAATGACGAAGTTTGAATTAAGCGGCTTTTAAATACATTGAAAGCATAGCGAGCCAACCAAAATTTTGAATTTTGTATGAATTAACCGAAAGTTCGAATTATCAGAGTTTGAATTATCGCGAGTCTACTGTATGTCAGTGGCAGTCTCACATACCCTTCAAGAAAACTGCTTGCATGTGTGAGCACGGTAAAGCACACTGTAAAGCATGCTAGCAAAGGCGCATGTTTTGGTTACTTATTTTGGGATGTGCTGGATACTCTAGTAAAGAGAAGCACAAATATTTTTGGCTGTTGCTAGCATGCCAATCAGTTTATGGCTCAAACAATTCACTTTTATTTAACAGCTTGTATGCACTTCTTCGCAGGAGCCAAATGCTTGGAGAAAGCAGTGCCACTCGGGCACAGAGAGTGCGCAAGAAGGCAAAGCTAGTTTAACAAACTTCTTTTCTGTAAACCTGCCGGCAATTCTGCGCCGTATGTACAGTTCAGTCCACAGTTAAAGGGAACACTCAAGTGAGTACCTGTCATATTTCGGGCCCCATAACTGCAATTAGACACAAAAACATTGTTTGTGAATGGCACTATTCTACTGAAAGAAATTAGAACTGTCAACCAGCATTAGTCTTATGAAAATATAATTCACTATGCTTTTGCCAACAGGTGAAATCTGGACATGGTGAACACGAAAGTGTTCCCTTAAACAGTGGACCCATCTGTACATATGCGTAAATAAAGTTTTGCTATTAATTTTGAACCCCGATGATCTGTACTCGCTTCTACCATGTCATATGTTATTGTTGTTGCCATGTTTGAATAAATTTACAAAAAATGTAAGTTGCCTTGTGTTTTGAAACAGCCTAAATGTGGGGTGTCATTTAGTACAGTGCAAGGTTTACGAAAACATCACTTTCGCGATGCAGCGCATATTATAAATGGGACTATTCTCTCGGCTAGACATCATTTTTCAGGCTAATTAATGCACTGTGATTGCTGCAGAGAAATGTCCACGTCAGTTTTTGATTAATTCCTGATGTGTTTTCCCATTGGAAAAAAAAAATTTTGACCACAACGAATAGCAGTGTTCCATTCATCCCACAAAATTTACTAGTTGCCAAGTTCTCATGTTACGTAACCCCTGGTGCTGCACATTACATATTCTAGTACAGTTGAACCCGTTTAAAACGAACAGGAAACTGTCACGATAAGTGGTCGTTGTATCAGTAGTTCGTTGGATATGGACTCGCCCTAAAAATGTGTACTTAGCGACGAAACTGTTTTCTTGTGTGTCTGTGTACTTGTATGTTTTATTAAAGACTGCAGACAACCCCTCTGGTGACAGGTTAGGCCTCTTTGTGTGTTAAGAGACTCCCGCTGTGTGTTCACGAGTAAATTAAACCACACTCGCCCTCGAACTCACCTCGTTTTACTGAAGCGCAGTACTGCAACCAATCATGCTTGGCCAGTTCCGTGCAGCAGGCTGTTTACTTGGTTTATCGCCGTTGCATGCCTGGCCGTTCACACTCTAATATATGTGCGTGTTCGTGCGTTCTTTGCACGTGCTTCACCCCGTATCGTGTTCTGGTGCAGCAAGTTGCGTGTTCGTTAGACACGACGGAATAAATGCATTTTGCAAGAAACGCGCAAGCGGCCTTGCATGACGCCGTGGCGGCGAACGGCAACATGGCGCGTACTGTCGTCACTTTGCGTGGTTTAAACACGAGCAGATATCTGTAGGCGACTGTGATAAGGTTGTTGGCAAAAAGTAAAAATAGCACGTTCATCGCCACCAGCAACTTTGCCTTTTCTCGATAGGCTTATCTGTTAAGGCAACTCTGCAACGGCAGGCACGGTAGTTGTTATTACTGATTTCTGCCTTTGGGTCACTGTTCACTGTCACTGTTTGGTTACTGTTCTGCCTTTGGGTCACTGCCATTACCCAAAGGCAGAACATTTTCGCTGCAAATTGTGGTGTCGGTGAGTTGAGCATCACAGTGAACCTTTAAACGACAAAAAGTTACCGCTTCTTGCATTTATAGCTTCTGGCATTCGAAAGCATTGTTTTGTTAGTTGCCAGCGGTCGTAGGTGTGGAAACGTGGTCAGAAAAGTTTGCCGAGCGAAAACCAACAAGTCTTTATGATGCCTCCTTTTTTTCTTTTTCCTCTTATTGCCGTTCTGGCAGTGAAGTAATGCCTGGAAAGTGAGCGACCTCGCTCGCAGCGTCCGAAATCTGCGTGCAGTGGTTGCCGCAGTTTGCGATATCTTCGTTGTGAGTAAACTGCAGCGGGGTGCATGCGCCTCTCACGTGCTTTAGAATGCCTGTTCTAACTTTCAATTTTCTTTAAGTCTTTGCACCAGTAAGTTTATTTTTCCCTATTTTGCTTTCTTTCATTCCTGAATGCCCATATCAAGAGTATAATGTTCATCGCGCACAATCCCCATCATTGTCAGTCGCTGCAATAGTTCGTCGTAACAGAAGAAGCCTTTGACATGAATATACCCCCATACGAAAATAATTCGTTATATCCAAAAATTTGTTATAAGCAATTATTCATAATACTACCTATGTCAAAGCTATTGTTCACTTCATTATAACCGATAATTTATCATATCCAAATTTGTTATATCAAAGTTTGAGTGTATCCCACTCAAACTTCGTATGTAGACCATTATTATGCATCAGTTCATTTAGATGCTACCTTTGTTCATTACAGATAAGTCCCTCCCAGTCAATACAGCTGATGGACTTCTGGTGGAAGAAATGGTTCCATTGTACAAAGAAGCTGCAGCTTGCAGCTGCATTTATAAAGCCTTTTTTTTTTTTTGTCTGCTAATAAACTGGTATGCATTCCTAAACTTTGTTGCTGTGTTTACTGGAAGGCGTGAACAGTCACCAGAACAGAAGTCTCTTTCATATACCACTTCTGATAAGCAGTAGCATCCAACATGTAAATAAGCTTGCCAGTTAATCTTTATAAATATTCACAATAGTTGAAACGTGACTACAATATTGTTCAACGTAGTAAACGTATTCGAGGTTCCCAAGATTTAAACTGTACAAGCATGCTGTTGCTTGTGGCAAGAGTGCAGCACTTTTAACAGCACAAAATGTGGAGCTGTAGCTTGCATCAAACATTGAGACAGCCACTCTTAGCTGAATGACAAGTTGTTTTGAAGCATATGCACTTATTCATGAGCAGCGACTGCCTGTTCGTCAGATGCAAAGCAACACATCCAAAACACAGCATCGTCTTTAAATGTGAACCAACATCCACCCGAGTTACTAGGAGGAGCACTTTTGATGTAGTTAAGAGACTGACCACATGATGTTAGTATAGAGGATGGCATGCAAGAGGAATGCTAATATTCCTAGCTTAGCCTGATGGACGCATAAAAAGCATATTTTTTCACAAACTTTTTCAGAAACTGCTAATTTAGTATCTCCTTCACATTGGTATAACATTTCATGGTGTTTGCACAGGTCCCAATGTGTATATAGTATATAAAAACCAAAATGAACGTGAGTATACCCATCTCCTCTTGCTGTTTCATTTGTGTATGCTGTTTACGTTTCAGATTCTATCAACTAGATCAACAAAAACTTTGCCACAGATGCTGAAGTGTCCAAAGAGCATACAGATTGAAAAGCTTTTTCATCACTTTATTGAATAGCTCCCCACAGCACAAAAATTCAATGAAAGCTGTTATCAGTGTATGCCAAGTGCAGGAAGTCTTTCAATGCAAAAAAAAATCTTTTTCAAATTTATTATAATTATTTTCGCAGCTACTGGTGGTACCAGAGTTTTCAAAATATACACTAGAGAAAACTCTGGCGCTAGTGTCTATGGGAGCTACAACGCATGGCGCTTCAGTGAGCATGGGAAATATGGATATGACCTGCATTTGCCTAGTCTTTGTTACATACGTTCCTTTCGGCTTCACGTAGCTTGAAGCTGCTTTGTCACGAAACAATCAGCAAATATTCAGCATTTGCACTTCACCATCTTAACCTTTTTGGTTCTCAAATTCAAATCGGGTCATAAGTTCGAAACGGTTAGTTCTTTTATTGGAAACAAAACCAAAACACTGAAATAAACAAAGCCACAAGTGCATTCAGAGCCCGCAAGCACGAAGAGTCGGCAAATCCATGTACATCTATCATTCCCATAGTCATTGAATGATCGCAGTGCCATAATTGCCTTTAGTTAAATTTTAAAAAATATGGTGCCAAGTAGAAGACCTTTAGCCAGATGCTGGGATACTAGCTATGATTTTCTTCATCGGATAAAAAAACATTTCAAAATTATGGCTTTCATTCTATGATACTTGTAGACCTGTACAGAATGGATGAATTTAAAGCCACCCCTAAATGGGCATATAATTGTGCATGATACAAGACAATGTAGCATCACTCATTATTTGAAATCAGATCTGTTGATTTAGTCGCACATTTTGGCACTTCGTTTACGTGTTCTTCAAAATATGGCATCACACAAGGCAACTTTAAGATGCTTTAAGTACCAGCTCAACATAGTTAGGATCCTGTACAACCGACACTTTGGCAATAAGGAATTCTCTCTCTCTTCTTTTTTTTTTCACATGCTATCTGCAGCTCCAAATCATATATAAAAATTACCAGATACTTTAAGAAATAGTGATGGGTCATTTCAAAACTGTTCTCTGTACATCATTCTATGGAATGCCAGTGAAGTTACATTGTGACTTCAGAGAAAATGCTACTCAAAAAAAAAAAAGTTTCTATACTTTGTAGCCTAGGGAAATTAATTTTTTTTTTGAAGACATAGTCTTTTATGCACATTTCAAATATGTGATCAGTTTTCTAGTAAGTCGCATAGCTTTCGTTTTATACCATGACAATATGTAAAATACAATTCTTAGTGAACACATTTTTTTGCCATAATGTTTTTATCATTCAGAGCCATTAATGGCTCATACTGCTCTATATTAACTGTGGAATGCAAATAAATAACAAAAAAGCATATAAGACAGTTTAATAGACAAGAAAAAACTGAAATGTGAGAAGCCTTAAAATGCTCAGATCAAATTGCTTACTTTAGGCTCATAATAATTGTACAGGTGATATCAAGTTTTAAAGGAGATACTGTTACTTTTCACTTGTTGAAAAATATGTGGGCAAAATTTAATCTTGATCTGGTTATCAGAAGTACAAAAAACATGATGTCAAAGCTCAAGAAGTTGCCCGAAATTTGCATCTGGAGAAAAATGTATTTTGAACATAAAAGTCAAAGATTATATATGTGGCAAAAATATGTTTTTAAAAATAATTTCTTCCATCATGAAAGCTTCGGAATCCTGGTTATTTTGAGCATATGGCTTTAGTGAACAGCTCACGTTAAGTGCAATGGCCAAGCAGCCAGGTGACAACTTCCAAGGGACTCTGGACAATGCGCTCTTTTTGGTTTTTAGTAGCCACCTTGTGCTCTTTAAGGAAACCCTGAAACATCTCTTTTGAAGTTGTGTCAGCGCTTAACCTGGAGCACTATCAAATCATTCACACCACAAATTTAATGACACGTCATATACCAAGGCCACTACGGACAATTATATCATACCTTCCTTCTCACCTCTGCCTTGCCTCCTCCACTCATGAGACATGCTGGCAATCGCAGAGCTCTTATGAGCACACACGATAATTTGAGCTTCTTCCAGTCTAAGCCTCCAGGTTGTATGCCGATCGGCTGCGTGCAATCTCCGAGGCCCTCACACAGTACAACCAGCAGCATATATGCCATCTAACAGCAGAGACGAAGATTGCGGAGTAGTTGATACCTGCTCCGACAGGTGCTACCACCCTACCAGTTAATCTTACTTCCAGGCATCCCACAGCCAATCAGATCAAAGGCCTGGGTGACATCGCACTACCAAAGCATGTCGCTCTCTGAATTGGTGGTTTAAAACGAGTTTGGCCGAGTTGCAGCGATATGCGGCGATTCTCAGCTTTAAAGCACTGTAATAAATTACAGAGAGGGCTCAAATGCAGAGGGCTCAAATCAGTCTGTAAATGACCATTAGGTCTTGGTCTACCGGCCTAATGTCAAAATTGTCGAAACCGTTTCAGGGTCCCTTTGAATAGAATTTTAACCTACTTCAAGTGTATTTGCAATTTAAAAATTTCGTTTTTGTTGTGAAAGTACAGATACTAAGCGTGTGAAACTAAATATAAACAAAAACATACAATCTTTGGAAAAAACTGGTCTTTTTTTTACTCTTATTGCCCCTTAATATTCACATCATTATGTGCCTTTACATTTGGCTTTGTTATAGTTTTCATCACTGGAGATGTAGCATACTGCACTAGTTTTGCATAATCATCTGACGAAATAGCTGGACTGTATTCTGCTTGGACTGATAAATAATTTCTGTGGCTACTGCAGTTCTTCTAACAGCTCCGCTTATTGAACACTTTCAACAAAAATAAAATTACATTCAGGAAATACAAACAGAGGGGGCTTTCACAAAAATGTGCAATCAATGGTCAAAATGTGCAATCAATGGTCAACATTGGCAGAAAAAACACAATACATGAATGATAGATGTGTGGGTATCCATGCTGGAAAAACAATTTAGCACCAGCAAACAACAAAAAGAAGGCATAGACAGCACAATAGCTAATGTGTCGCCTGGACCTCCCTTTTGTCTTTCTGTTCAGAGGTGCTAAAGTGTTTCTAGAGTTTTATATTTACATGACAATTTAATATAAACAAGTTTTCTTCATGATTCGAAGAAACTCCTCCTGGTTAACTTCACCGTCTCCATCTCTGTCAGCTTCACTTATCATCTCCTGCATAAAAAGTGATGAAATTAACATGGTAGGGATACTCCACGATCCTCTCAATGAAGTAATGGAATATTGTAGTGAGAGTTCTCCGATCGTACCAGTTGTGAAACTTCTGTTTCAAAATCCGTACATGCATGCCCATGGACAAGTTTCCGGAAGATGGCAAACTTACACCTGTGCTATGCACAGGGGTGCAACAGCCGAAATACAATTTGGAGCAATTTTCAGAGCAGCGAAATGTTACTTTTCGAGCACTAAAATCCAAATTTGGAGCAGATTACGGGAAAAAACAGCATGCATTTTTAACATGAAATACCAAATTTGGAGCAGTACAAACATTCAGAAAAAAAATATGTATAAGCCATTGAACATCACTTAGATCGTGCATTGTAAACATATGCACTGCTATTTCAGTAAAAGTAGTATTTTGAACCACTTCACTGAGCAAACAATGATAAATTCCATGTTAGCGTTTGCTGCGCCTGTCAAATCATTTAACAGACTCTGCGAATTTACATATGGATCTGCCAAGAACAATGCAATTGCTCAAGCTCAAACCCCATGCTCACTTTAAAAAATTTTGTTTGAACGCATGATTTAATTCTTATATAAATATACAACCCATATTAAAAATACGAATTTGACACCATGGCGTGATTTGTGTCCCCTCTTGAGACTTTTCTGGATTTACACCACTAAGTAGCATACTACAATGACAGTGCGTACAGCTTGCCTTTGGTTTCGTTTAGGCTCACGAGATGGTCCCATGGTTCAAGTTCATTCTTTTAAGTTTGCTTACACCATTTTAGAGCAGGTTTGGAGCAGTTACTAGCAAATATTGCACTTCGGAATATTGCACTTTCTATTTTGCACAAACATTGCACTTTCTCATTTTGGAGCAGCACTTCCATCACTGCAATGGCAGAGCATTGCATACCCTGGTGATGGAACTTGTTCAGGTTGCTCTTCCATCTCACGGTCATGGAAACATTTTGCAATAGCTTTAGCCTACAAAATGATTAAACATGTTTTAAATGGAAATAACATTGCATCACTAAGCTTTATATTTGGAAAACAAGCATCGCAAATCTCAAGAACGAAAGCCATCTGAAGCCTATACTTCCCATCATTCCCATGGTGGTAGAATCGCTGCTGAGAGAGCCCACATAGACACTAGTGCCAGGTTCCCCTCTAGGTATTATAGCCTCTTCACATTTAGCATCCATATTTGTAGGCATCGATGTTTAGGTGTAGTATTCCAACAAAACTGAACTTGAAGAATTCAAATGTGCTATGTTTGAAAGACTGGCATATAGTTTCCGCGATACCCGATAGAGAGCACCACCAGTCTTCTAAAAGTGCTGCGGTGAAAAGTTGAAATGGTGGAAAAAAGCCTGAGCAGCTTGCGGTGATGAAAGTGTCAATTTTTCGGCTATCATTCTGTACTTATCAATATTACGTGAAACTTTTTGCTCATGCACTCAACTTGCACTTCATTCAAGCATAACATTTAACATAACATTCAAGCATAACATTTCATTGTTGCTTAGATGGTATGCACTACCACTGAAACATGAGATGTGTGTTCACAATGATCCACGTTAGTGAACAAAAGTTGCCAACGTGTGACGAGCATACTTTGGTTGGCACTCAACAGCCAGATTCCTGACCAATGAAGAGATTTCTGCCATGCTAGAGGAAAGTGATGTAGGTCTCTCGGAGTCAGGAGATGAAGGAGAACATAGCCTTTTTTCTCCTATAAGTGAGGATGAGTCTACATGTGATTCTGCAGATGTACCTGCAAGCAGTGGTGTTAAGGAAGCTAATATGAAGGTTGAAGTTTCCAGCCAGCAGTTGTCGCAGAGTACAACGGATGCATGGGTGACACGGATCTGGTCGGTAAATAGAACAAGAAAATCAAACAACCAGTAAGAACAAGGAAATGAACAGTGAAGTTCTTCACCCAAATTATGGACGTTGCTGTGTGAAATGCATGGATTGAGTACCAATGTGGAGGTCAAACCATGGGCATACTAAGAAAGGAAGTTCTTTCCCTGCTTCAGCTCAAGCAAGACATTGCATGAACTAGGTTAGAGAAATCCAACACGCAACGGCAAGAAAAATAAAATAAAACGCCTGCGACTGACAGCTCCAGGCCTGTGCAATTACTGAATATTGGTGCACGTAATGACCATGTCCAAGAGTCTTGCCAGCTAAAAAATTCAATGCTGAGCAGAAACGGGAACTGCAGAGGCAAAATCAGAGCAAGGTGCCCTGACAACTCAAAGGCCTGTGCGATTACTGAATACTGACTCATGAAATGACCGCTATGACCCCGTCCCAGAGTCTTGTGAGCTAAAAAAATGCATTGCTGTGCAGAAACAGGACTGCGGTGGCGAAATCAGAGCTAAGTACACAAAATATGTCCTCCTGTGTCTTCATGAGGAAGAGTGTTTCATAAGGTTCCACGATGCTCCTAACTAGAGTACCCTTATGTTGATGCCCCTTTGACAACGTTCACAATTTCGGTCCGCAAGTGTGGACACTTTTAAATTACTTAAAAGAACTGAAATTTTTCAGGCTTTTTTTGTTATAAGTTAGGAACAAGGCTTTTAATAACACATTTTTTCAAAAAAAAAAATAACTATTTAATTCTTGCTAGAGTCGGTAGCTTAGGGGATAGTATGAAACTATATGATGACGCACAAGCAGCCATCTTGGAAGTTATGGTACCTAACGACATCCCAAGTAGCCAAACTGCGACGTGAAGTCGCTATGATTATTGTTGTAACCTGACGTCAAGCTAGTGTTGAAGCCTGCAAGTGTGCCCCCATGAAAAAATTGACTTTAATACCAAAATAAAGTATGTTATCAGCATTTGCTGAGCTGCACACTTGCTCAGAGACATTTCTGCACACAGGAGATTAGTATGAAAGATAAAACTCGCCTTTGAAAAAAAGCGTCAGTGCCCCTTTAGGCAAAGGAATGGACCTAGGCCAGCCACATAATGCAAAGATCAGACAGCTGGTGAACAGTTGGGGCAACGAAATTGATACCAAGGGATGAGGAATGCAGTAAAGGAGGACAGCTAGTTAGATGGAGTGATAAAATGAAAAAGTTTGCAGAATTAAAAAGAATCTGCATACTTAAGATAGGAAAAATTGAAGATCACTGAGGGAGGCCGTTGTCCTGAAGTGGAAGTAGCAGTGAATAATGAAGAAGGCTACAAATATCAAGAAGATGGTTATATCTGCTAATATAGGCCACAAACAGGAGCCAAATGCTATAAGCAGTGTTTTGAGATTTAAGGGGCATTAAAGAGCAAAACTATTTTTTGCATTTTAGTAAACCGCAGTTTCACAGTCCCAAAAACACTACTCTTGTTGCGACATGACGCTTGGTAAGCGAGGAAACAAGTGAGAATAAAATGCTGGTGGAGACGCCACTTTGAGATTCCTGCACCAAACCGCGTGACGTAAATTTTACATGGCTTTTACTTAATAAAACTTAACTACATTGTTTCCTGTGGGTGCCCTTAACCAAGAATATGAAATTTCAAGAATTTTATCGAGCCAATGTCACGAAAAGACGAAAGATACATTTGAAATTTGTTACGTCACCCACGGAGATTTCGATGCAAGATTTATAAATTAAACTTGAACACTGATTTTCTAGACTAATAATAAACTTATGGCTTGTGGCATTACAGTTCTACGGGTGCAGTTAATCAATCTAAACCAAATCATTGTTTCTCTTATGTGCCCCTTTAGGACAATTTCTATACTGCCATCACATGATGGACTGCTGATTACAATTAAGCCCAAATAAAGTCGAATTTCTCACTGGTGATTTTCTCCCTTGTGCAGTTTGTATGTGTCAAAGAGCCAATCACAATAAAGAAACTCAATCTGTAATTGAATATGACCAATAGCAATAATCAGTATAATATTTGATAGTTCGAGCACAGTTTTGGACACTACTATATGAATTATTTTCACCTCTACTGTATCCTACAAAAGTAAACTTGCCTTGCACTGGGCTGTAAGTCACTTCTTTTCTGTAAGTCACTTCTTTTCTGTAAGTCACTGGGCTGTAAGTCATTTTTCTTACCTGCAGTTCTTCATCCGACAGGTTTTCGGAGAGCTGTTTTGCGACACTCTTGAGGTTTTTAAAGGAAATCTTGCCGGTGTTGTCTTCATCAAACAATTGGAATGCTTTCATGATTTCTTCATTAATGTCCTTCTCTGCCAATCTTGTGGCCATTACATTCATGAAGTCTTCTCGAGCTATTTTGCCTAGATGTTTGGAGCAAGAGAAATGGATCACACAGAGATACACTACTCCAGCAAGTACTACATTTAAAGGGCACCTCAACACATTATGCACCACAGTCAAATATTTGAGTACCCAAGAACAGCGCGAAACACTGTCACTGTCCGATGTTTCGCGCCGTTTCTCGCTTCCTTGAATATGTACAATCGGCCCAAATGAGCCCTCTAGTGTAGCATTTGCATGATTACGTCATCCGCCTTTCACGAAGCATGGACAGTATTATATAGTGTAGGAATACTTGAAGTACGAGCGTGTAGCTACACAGGGTCGATGACGGGAACTTAATTATTGTCTTCTTGGTCCCTATGTTGTTATACGCTCGTATCTCAGGTATCACGAATCACCGACTCACCCAGTCAGCCATTTCGACAAGTGTACTAAATCTGGCTAGTCAGTATTTCGTAATTATTATTACGCGACCAAACAGGCTAGCGACGTGCCTAAGCATCAGATTCGTAGCATTTTAATGCAAACTAGATGATTGGTGATAAAAAGGATCGAATTACCGGTCTCTTGCTTGTCTATCTCTGCAAGCAGCTTCTTGACCTCCTCTTTTCTAGGTTCGAAACCCAGGGCCCGCATTGCGAACTGGTGGCAGAAAAGTGAGCATCGTGTCAAAGGCGCGAACGAGCGCGTTGTTAGTAGCAATCAGTACGCCTGAGTACTCGCCTTCAAGTCCTTCGCTTCCATAAACCCACTGCTACTGGGGTCAAATAGGTTGAACGCCGCGTTGATGTCATTTTTCTGTTCATCGCTCGGTTCGGGCTTGCCGCTGAGCTTGCGCTTATACCCTCCAGATGTTGCGCTCTTCCGGGACTGTTGGAATATATGGGGCTTAGCAGGTGCCGCTGCGCTAATTTCGATTACGACGAAAGCACTTACCATGGTGTAGGCACTTGTTCACGGACTTGGTTTCGCCTACTGCGACAGCTGGTACCAGCTGGGATTTGGTGATTGCCGCCCTGAAGGCACAGTGCGTCAGCGTTGTCGCGGCTGTGGTCACTACTGAATGAATTGGAACCTATTAAATCACTTGTTTAGGAACAGAGGCATATAAAAAAGACTAGTGTTATACCAAACAACTTTCGCGGGCGTTCATAAACAACGATCAGGCTGATCAGACGCGCGCAGACGTGAGCCGCAGCATCATCATCACCACTACGACCGCCATGGGCAGAAATTATACAAGGTCGATCTTGAATTATATGTTATACATAATTTAATAAGCATTTAGCCATGTATAAAGTTGTATGTGTTCTCTGATGAAGCACTACAGCAGCTACATGCAAAATAATAGATGAATATAAGTGAAAAGAGAGAAGGCAAGCGACAAAAAAGAGAGAGAGAGATAGGAAAGTTGAGAGCCGGCATAGAGTTTGATACATGAAACTTTGAGGGTCTAAAAAAAAACTAGGTTTAAGTTTAACCACAGAAACATTAAAATTTTGGTGCCTTCGTTTTGGGAAATTGCCACAGAGATGTGTTTGATGGATGTGTAATTTCATTCGAGGCACTAAACGTATGAACAACATAAGGCAAGGCCTACAACAAATATTCAAAAAAAGAAAAAGGAGCCGGGAAGTAATTTTTGAAATGCGAGTATGAGACCAGAGTTATTCAATCATACCTCTGGTATGAGACATACATCCCAAATTAATCGGGTTTGGCAAACTCAGCTGTCTGGTCAGCTCCCAAAATCAAGGTATTGTTATTACATTAGTGATTACTTTCTTGTCTTTTTAATCTTTTTTTGATAATGTTTTCTTCAACATCTATTTTTTTTTGTAAGCAATAGTGCAGTTACACACCATCCATAGGTGCCACGGATTCCAGGCTACAAACAAAGTCCAAGGATGGGTAACTTAGAAGTGGGGCAGCTTGGGCTAGTTAATTGGTATGACATGACGATAGTTATAGCGCGAAAACAAAACGACGACACAGAGACAAGTCCTTCGTGTCGTCGTTTTGTTCTCGCGCTATAACTATCGCCAAGGATGGGGCTGGGCACCACTCGGCGAGTTGCTCGGAGGATTTCAAGCTGAATGGTTGGGGCGCCCCCTCCACGGTGTAAGAATATTATTCGTTACATCGCGGCCCCCGCGTTCTCTAACGACAGCGCAGCTACATACTTCTAGTACACTCTAGCGCAGCTCCCACCGACTGTTTGCCCTCCGCGGTCTCCTGAGCATAGTTATAGCGCGAGACCAGAACTGGTCTCGACTATCATCATGTGATACCAACTAGCTCAAACCGCCACACTTCTAGGTCTGAAGTTGTGAAGCTCTCGCTAAGTGGGGCCCCGTCATGGGCTTTTTCGACTGGTTCCAAACTTTCCAATCTCCTTCTTTTTCTGTCACTTGCCTTATCTATCTCTTAATTCACCTACTTTCTTCTATTCTTATTATCTCTCCTCCACCCACCCCTAATGACTTTTTTTTTTCTTTTCTCAAAAACCACATCCACCCCCCACCCCTTGGCGAGAGGTTCACGGCGTCAGGAGACTGCGGAGGGCTTAGTTATAATGTTATTCTATGCCACAGATGCTTAGATCCGCACTGTTCTCTGTCCTAGCCACAGAACACCTACATACTACCCTAGGGGGATTAAAGAAAAATTGCAATTTTTGTAATCCTCCCTGATACTACCCCTAGTGCGATGCAACATATGTATTTCCGACAGACAGACATGTGGAGAATTAATGATTAAGAAGTCCGCACTAGAGATCTATCGAACTTTTAAGCAGGAAATTGCCAAGGAAAGGATATATGATAACACTCGGGGTAGTTCTCTACTGTTTGAGGCCAGGACGGGAGTATTGCGAACCAAGACATATCGGGCCAAATACGAAGGGGTAGACACAGTATGCAGTGCGTGAGGAGAGGAAGAAGAAACTGCCGAACACTTGATAATGCTCTGTAAAGGGCTTCACTCTATTGTTAAGGATGCTGGCGCAGAGTTTTTCAAAGCACTGGGTTTTAGGGACAGGGAGGGCAAAATAGACTTTAAGCGGGTAGACTTAACTAGAAGGAGGTTATCTGATTGGTGGCTAAAGTCAAGGCACGAGTGAAAATAAGCCCTTCACTCCAAAGTACGAATCCTCAACCTCACTATTCAAAGGAAAAAAAAAAAAGATAAATCTAATGGTTAGTTCACTAAGTATTACGGCTAGGTGACGTTAGCCGCCACCCGATCTAAAGGTTACAGCCACATCCATCCATCCAGAGCCTGACAAAAAGGAAGCAACCATAGAGTTAATATGCAGTCTGTATATTAACTCTATGGAAGCAACACAGAAAAATCTGTTTGTGTTTCTTCCTGTCCTCGTAGATTTTGCGCTAGGTGTAGTGGGGTTAGAAGAAAGCATGTACATTGACTAGAACAGTGAACATGCAAATATACCACCAACGTGCAGTGCTCAAAAGAAAGCTCTAGCTGCCTGGCTAACGTTTTCCATTGTAGAGTTCATATACTAAGTTTGTTTATAAGTTTATATTTTTTTTGTGAACTAAAACTATAGTGTATTAGAATATACCATATAAAAACGTTAGCAATGTTCAGCGTTCTTGTCATAAAGATCAATCCAAAGCCTCCAAGTTGGACGCGGCCAAAATCGTAGATGGCGCTACAGTGCACACTGTAATGGCGCTTCCTTGTTAGACGCGTCGGTTTTTATTTCATCGGAAAATAGTTGCTGCGAGCTAAGTAAGTTTCTATTAGTGACGCCTCGCAATGAAAACACGCGCGCTCTTTCTGCTGTATTTACTACAGACCGGAAGGGATTAAAGACTGTGTAGGCGGGAAAGTGTCGTTCCCGTTTTTTTTTTATTACTATTTTCAACGAAGACGTTAGTTGTGGAAAACAATATGGCCGCAGCAAATAAACAGTTTTTTGTTTACGACCGCCGGAAAAGCAATACACCAGAATCTGTGGTTGCCGTGGGGCCAAAGGATGACTACCTGGATCTAAGGACACGGATAATGAAGGTAGATACCCAAACTTCTTGAGTTTCAGCTCTTGCCATGACGTTAATCAAGCCGACTTAGGAACATGGCGTGTTGTTAATGTTTGTGTCAAAGCAAAATGCTGACATGTTTTATTACTGGCGTGAGAAGATGACTTCTTACGTGCCTCTCTTAACACCGGCGTAATCGCCGCGGCATAGTAGGCACGTTTTTTTTGTAAAAAGCAACGTGCAGCAATAGGCTTACTACCTACTGCTCATAGCGCTTCAGCATCAGGTAAAATAGAAATGCGATTCTCAGTTCTCTCTGTTCCATCTATTACCAGACGGATAATACGCCTGGCTGGCGTATTATCCATCTCATAAATGTTCAATACTGCATTTGTTGGTGTGCACATCATCGCATTTATGATCGTTCGTACCGTGTACACAATATCACGTGCGATGAAACGGCGATCACGTCAGCAAGCAAATCTAGTTTTTAGTTTGTGACACTGTTTGACTGCCTTGATTTTTTTTACTACGTGTTCGACTTGTGGGTTCATCCTGCTTGCCCTCTGAAGTGCTCGAGTGGTAGAGTGCATACGCTGTTTTCTCTACGCGACCGATTAATGTGTCTTATTTTCGCAGCACTATGGGATTGCCTCCTCGGAGCCATTCGTTATCTGCACAACAAACAGGGAAGAGATTAGCAAGGCTACTTACGGTAAGAGTGTGCATGATGATTGATTACGTGCATCGGTTGCAAAAAAAAAAAAGGAGGGGGGGGGGTGTGGGGAGGATGTAGGAAAGTGATTTCATGCTAGTAGTGCACCGAGGGACAAATATTGTGCTTTGCTTGACCTGCAGAAAACCTCGACTAGCGTGGACACCACTGTACATGTCTACACCATGTTAAAACCCAAGCAGCGTGTAAGCAGTATTACATAGTATGCTTAATTTAGCACGTGTGGAAATGTTTTGTTAGCAGTGTGCTGATGGACAATGATTGAGGTTTTATTAGTATCAATACATTGAAATCAATACAGGTTATATGTAGATAAGAGGCCCATTGTCAAAGACTACAGCGGTACCTTTGGTTGATATTTCATCACGAGGCATATGTAAAAAATGCAAATGTGGGTTAAAAAAAAAACATAATCATCAGCCTGACTACGCCCACTGCAGGGCAAAGGCCTCTCCCATGATCGGCAAAGCAACCTGGTCTTGTGCTTTTCGTTGCCACATTATGCTTGCGAACATTTTCATCTCATCGGGCCACCTAACTTTCTGTCTCCCATTTGCCTTCTCTGGGAATCCATCGAGTTACCCTTAATCACCGGCGGTCATCCTGCCTACGTGCTACGTGCCCAACCGATGTCCATTTCTTCTTCTTGATTTCAAATGTGATATCCTTAACCCCGGTTTGTTTTCTCACCCACTCTGCTCTCTTCTTGTCTCTTATGGTTACACCTATCATTTTCCATCGCTCGCTGCATCGTCCTCAATTTAAGCTGAACACTCATTGTAAGCCTCCAGGTTTCTACTCTGTAGGTAAGTACTGGCAAGAGGCAGCTGTTATATACTTTCCTCTTGAGGGTTAGTGGCAGATTACCAATCATGATTTGAGAATGCTTGCCAAGTATGATCCGCCCCATCCTTATTCTTCTAGTTACTTCACTCTCATGATTCGGCTCCACGATTACTACCTGTCCAAAGTAGAAATATTCCCTTACAATTTCCAGCGTCCTTCCACCTATTTCAAAGGGCTGTTTTCTGCCGAGACTGTTGCACATTACTTTAGTTTTACCTCAATTTTCAGACCTACTGTTGCACTTTCCGTGTCCAGTTCTGTAATCGTGAGCTGTGACTCGTCCCCTGAGTTACTCATGTAGGCAATGTCGTCAGCGAATCACAGGTTACTAAGATATTCTCCATTAACTCTTAGCCCTAACCCTTCCCTATCTAGGGTCCTGAAAGCTTCTTGGAAACGTGCGGTGGATATCACTGGAGAGATCGTGTCTCCCTGCCTTACACCCTTCTCCGCCATCTTTGAGGAGGTCTGTTGTTACCTTATCCTAACTAGCGGCTTTGCCTCTTTGCATTCCCTCTAGGGTTTTCCTTACTTCCCCTGTCGTTACTGGAAGGATGTCGAATTCCTCTGGGCTACTATTGTTTCTCATAATATCATCCTGGTTGTTTTGGCTTCTGTATTGCTCTCTCTAGAACTTCTCCGCCACCTCGACTATCCTATCCATATTGGTTATGACATCTTCCTTGTTCCTTAATGCATACATCCGATTTGTGCCTGTGCACAAGTTTGCTTTCGCAGCTTTTGGCCTTCTGCCGCTTTTTACAGCCTACTCAATTCTCTCCTTGTTATACCTTCTGACGTCGGCTACCCTGCGCCTATTGATTAACTTCGAAAGCTCCACTAGCTCTATTTTGTCGGTTACATTTGAGGCTTTTATGGTTTGTCGTCTCATAGTAAGATCTTTTGCCTCCTGACATAGTTTGCCAGTGTCCTGTCTAGTCACTGTACCTCCGACTTTCATTGCACACTTTTTGATGATACTATTAAGATTATCCTTCATTTTGTCAATGCTAACATTGGATTAACTCTTTAGTGCCTCGAATATTCTGAAGTGAAACTGAATTCCTGCACTTGCGCTCTCACGGCTAATTCATTAATTGGCTTCTTGCATATCAGTTTTTGTCTTTGCCTTTCGACGTCTTCATAGAAGCGTTCAACCAAATGATCATCATGGCTTGATGTAGGTGCGTAGGCCTGTACAACCTTCATCTTGTGCCTTATGTTAAACCTAATTGGGATACTTGCCACCCTCTCACTGATGCCATAGTATTTCTATATGTTGCCAGCGATATTCTTGTGTTTAAGAAACCCCAACCCTAGTTCTTTTCTGTCAACTAATCCACACTAGCATAGGACGTGTCTGTTCAGCACTGTATAAAACTCACGTGTCCTAACTCCTAGCTTTTCTGAGCCCTATTACAACCCATTGAACACACTCTAATTCCTTGAATAGGACAGCTACACTAGCCTAACTAGATAGCGTTCTAGCATTAAACGCAGCCAAGTTCAGTTTCCAATGGCAGCCTGTCCGGACCCAGAGATTTCGAGCACCCTTCGCTGCATCGCAGGTCTGACTGCCGTCTTGGACAATTGCTTCGCAGACGCTGAGGGCCAAGGGTTAATTTCTGTAGTCATGGCAGGTAGTGGCCAAGTACTGCACCAGGGTGGCCAATCCTGCTCTGGTGAGGAAGTGCATTACTGGCAGCTGGTTGCCAGTGAAGCCGCACTCCGGGCCTCTTCTTTTTTTTTCAAACAATTCCTTCATCAAGTGTTTCAAGTGAATATACGATTAGGAATGGTCTGGCATCTGCATTTTAGCTGAATTTTGTCATTCCATGCAATTTCATACGCTGCTACACTATTTCTAAGTAGGGGGTTCTGTTGCACTTTCTTAGCACTGTAGAATACCACCTGATCATCTGACTCATAGCTCTCCTGGCCTTCTTAACTGTTTGAAAATTCATTTTTTCTTTAAAAAAAAAAAAAGGCACAGTTTTTAATGTCTGACCTTGGGAGCTTGGGTGGCTTAGTGCCCTGGATGACCCTCCTTCTCACGCGTTTATTCTAACTTCTCCCTCTCACTCAAATTTGACATTGTTGGTTTCAATGTATTTATTTATTTATTTATTTACAAGTACCTTACAGGCCTCGCAGAGGCATTGTGTAAGGGGGGTCGATACAAAATATTAACAAATTGGGTAAACAAGTCAGTAAGAACAATGTAGTACGTCAACAACAGCAAAAATATGTTTAAGTACAGAAGTAGTCGTATGTATTCCACATGAATAGGTAAGTTTAAAACATGTAAAAGAAATGCAATAGCGTGTTTGACAGATCAAAATGAAGCGTAGTGAAACAGACTATGCAGTTTACCGTGCTGGTTTGGGTTAATGAACAAAACTTTAAACAACAGCCTCACTGTGATGATGAAATAAAAAGAAAAAGGGGATACATGAATCCTGGGAGTAAGTGGACCAGCTAAGCATCATCAGTGAAATAGTTGAGAAGATGCTCGCGAAATTTATTGTGATTACGCTGGAGGGCGACACTGTTTGGAACATCATTCCAGTCGTATGGCACGCGGGAGTGATAAGTAGTTAAAAGCGTTAGTGGTGCCGTAGAGGCGGGTGCAGCTGAAGTCATTGTGTGATAAGTGAGAGGAAAATTGTAATTGCGCTAGCGCTGATCGAGTGGCATAGGCATATTTATGAAAGAGAGGCAAAAGCGCCATGTCACGACGAATTGCTAATAGATGAAGTGAAAGTTCGAGCTTTAGCTGGGTTAAACTGGACAAGTTGTTATAATTCCGCATGATAAAACAACAAGCTCTGTTCTGAATAGGTTATAACTTCTGTATTAAATATTTTTGGTGAGGTGACCAAATGGATGATGCGTACCCTAACTGGGGCCGGACAAATGTTTGGTAGGCCTGTTTACGTACGTGAGGAGTAGTGGATTTTAGGTTGCGACGAGGATACCCCAATGATCTTGAAGCATTAGCAGAAATGGTAGTTATATGGTCGACCCAGGAAAGATTTTGTGTGAGGTGAACGCCTAGATACTTATACCCTGTGGTTCTAGCCAGTCTGTTGTTACTGATGTGTCCGTAATGTCGGAGTTTCGCTGATTTCGAGTGGTCGCACTTCTACTTTGGCGTTTCCTGTCAACTGACGAGTTGCACGCACCTGTTTTGCGAAATAATGGACTAGTTTTACGTTATTGCTACATTGAGTGTATACGTTGCAAGTGGTTGGAATGATTGAAAAGTGAACGCGAAACGTTTCTAACTGCTAAAGAATAGACTGGCACTATTTTTAAGGCTGTATTCTATTCTGTTGGTGCATTGGAGTAGTAATTAAAATTCTGGTAAATAGATGTAGAAGTAGACAGTGGCCCTCAGTCGGATATACGTACTAGTAATTACAGCTATGATTAGCCTAACAATGTAAAATAGTCGATGAAAAGGTAACGAGCGAATTATTTCTAGTTCTAAAAAGCGGCAAAAGGCAATGAAATCGTACGGAAGTAATGACGTGTTTGTATCACTCACCACGAAGCGCCAGCTTGGGTTGCTAGACTCCGACGACTCTTGGCACCACACTCACCCACAACGATAAGTTCACGCGACACGGACAATATAGATGGCGTGCACTGAAACCACTATGCTGGAGCACCAGCATGATAGGATCAGATATTTTTGATGCCAGATTAATGCTATCGAAACACCATACGCAGTTTCCTTCATTATTCACGAACAGAGACAATCCTTCCACGTCGTTTTCTCTTAGATGCTACTTGTTTTTCATCAAAGCCGCCATCATGTAGTCCCAGTTTTTTTCAGAAGCTGCATCCGTGACATCATGTGCAAGCCATGTATAGCATCAAAATAAATTTAAATGAAATCCGGTTGTCAGAAAAATAAACAATCGTTTAATAACTTGGAGATAAAATAACGAACAAGGTAAAATTGTTTTACTAAGTTAGAAAAGCAAAACACATCTAAGGAAATGTTAAATTGTATAAAATGATGGGGTTGTCACAATGTGGGGCTAATCATTCATTAGCGTTTTTGTAACTTTCAGTTGCTTTGCTTAAGAACGATACAGGAGCAACAGCTTGTGCAATCGTCTTTG